GTCTTCCCCAAATGATGGAGCTGAGCCCAAGGGAACAAATGCCATTTTAATGGGCATCGTTGTGTAACTCATTACATAAGTCACCGCTGCCTTCAAAGGACTCGTGGCAAAAGTAGCAGGAGCGGTTGATTAAAAATGTGCACAATAGCTTCATTATGGCATGGGGAGAGATGTCTGCTGTTATTTTTAATCTGATAGCTTTTAAATATGTGCATCCAGCAGAGACCCAAATGGCCTTTGAAAAAGGAACCGTTCGTGGAGTAAGATTTTTAGACTCCACTTCGTTCTTTCTAACGAGCTGCAAGAGTCAGGATAAGCTGGAAAATGAACCTTTTTTAAGGTTGTGTCTCCTCTAAAGCTGCAGATTTTGGTGTGGGAACACGCAGAGAGTGAGAGAAGATGGAGGGTTTAGTTTTTCAGCTGAAGGAAAGGAAAGGTACTGTATTCTAAGTTGGTTTTTTTTTGTAATTAAAAGTAAGTCTATTTTCAATTAGTTATATATGATCCGAGCACTAGACAAGTTGAGCAGTTAAATTGCCCATCCCAGCTGCTGGAGCCTTCCACTGAGCTGTGTCACAGTGACAAAAACATGACCAGGAGGTCCAGAAGCAGACAGGGGGTTATTTCCCATCTCTGAGGCCTCCCATGTGCTGGTTACACGTGGCTGGTGAGCGGGACCCAGCAGCTGGAAATTCTGCTGTGACTGAGCTCTGTAAAAGGCTTGAACTTTCAGTTTGACTTTAAATAATTTGCTGCTGGGTTAGGTTGATGGAATCCACCAGCACGCACGTGTTTCAACTCATTTTCTGGTGTTCATTTGAAGTGGAAAGTGACCATTTGACCATGGCAGGCATGGATGGTGTTGGGCTTAGACTTGCTGGCTTTCTCCTAAGCAGCCTAGTTTCTTCGTCCACAAACACATAAGCTGATTTATCTGCCTTCCCTTGTGCCTCTTAATCTACTGTTGTTCAAAGTCTGCAGTTCTTCCCTCCCCAGATTCAGCTTTCTGTTGGCAAACTGGCAGGCAGCACCCAGTGCTGGAGCTGGGGGACGAGGCAGCTCCTGTCTGACCATGATTTCCCCAGCCCGGGGGTCTTGAGGGGTGCTGAAAAAACCCCTCTGGCCACACCTGAGAGCTGGGCTGGTTGGAGCAGGCGTGTAACGTGAGCTCTGTGGTGGTGTGTGTGTGGTCAGACCCCAGACACGTGCTGGCCAGGGGGGGATGAGCCTGAGAGCCGAGCAGGGCCGTGACTCAACAGCTGGAGCGTGTTCAAGCACGGGCGGAGCGGGAGCCTCATTGACAGGGGTTGGAATTAGCCGTGAAACGGGTGACGTAGCAAAGCTCCCGGTCAGAAATCGAGAAACCCAAATCCGTAATAAAGTAATTTGGAAGGGATTTTTTTTTTCTTTTTTTCCAGTTGTGTGCTGCAGCCCCAGAGCATCCGGACAGATGAAATACGGAGAGATGGAAAGTCAGTGGTTCCTTTGAGACAGAAACGCTTTGATACAACGCTTTATTTTTTTTTTTCCCCTTCCAGTTGAAATCACTCCAGCGAGTTTATTACCCTGACTTTTGCCATTTATCTGAAAAATATTTGGGCACTGCATAGAAGTAAGTACAGAGTACCTTCCTCCTGTGCATCAGAGAGGAGAAAGAGAAGTTGAGAAAGCTGGTGCTGAGACTCCAGCTAAACACTGCTGGCTATTCATCAATAAGAGGCAAGGGTAACACGATAGAATAATTTCCAGCGGGCAGACTCCCAAGCTCAGAACAACCTCAATGCTGCATTAAGGGCTTTGGTTACTGCAGATAGGCAGGAAGGAGCAGAGGGACAGGAGAAGTGGTTTGAGCACTGCCATGGCTCTGTTTTCTGCCTCTTTCTTTATGTTATCAAATTATTTGATCTGTAAAGGCATGCTGTGCTGTTTGAGCTTTTTAACTGGATGGACACAGGACATTAGATTTGTAAATTAGGATACACTGTAAAGAAAATTACTTTTTCAAAGCAGACCAGTGCTATGGTAACCAGTCTAGGAAGTCTCGCTCAGCTGTGCTGTTTGCAGGAGGATTTCAGGCTTCCCATATAAAAACTTAGGTACCTTAGACCATTGGGCTAGAATACTTTCTTACTTCGGTGTCACTTCTCTTTTATACCACTTCATCCAGATTCATTACAAAGCAGATTCTGTTTATAATGCTTGAATGATGTATCAGCTTGCAAACCCTAAAGCCCATCGTGCTGGATAATGTCTGTTGGCATTCACTGAGTGCAGCCACAGGAGCTCCACAGCTTGATCCATGCACAGGGGGAGAGGGGCTGCAGTGTGATGGAGATGCTCTGCTGGAGCCACTGACTCACCCTCTGCTCTGTTTAGACAAGTTGCTTCACCTCTGTGTCTGCTTCCCATCTGCAGGGTAAGGTTAAGACCTGACTGTTTAAGGATGAGAACGATATGTTTGTAATGTGCTTGGAACAAGAAAAGCGCTATTTTAAGTGCTAAGTGTAATTGAGTGTGAGAGAATATTGGTTTGTGACTCATTTGTTTAACTGCAAATGCATCAGAAACTTGTGAGCAGATGAGAGCTGGAAAGTGCTTGGTGTGGATGGAAACCCATGGCAGTAAAAAGCTGCATTAATTTGTGATCTTCAAAGCAGGACTTAGCAGGGTTGTTCAAACAGTAACGTTTATTATTTTTGCAAATGTCAGCTGGTTTACTTCATTAGTACTATTTTAAGAAGTTCCTATTCTGCTTCTGTCCTTGCTCTGTGGGTCTGTCTTCCATCAGAGTGTGGTGCACAAAAGATTTGATGTTTGGTGTGACCAAAGGGTGAAGAAAGTAAAGGGCAGTGGTTGAGCTGGTGGTGGTGAAGGGGATCTGCTGTCAGCAGAAAAGAAACTTTCTCTGCTGACAAGACATCTTTTGGAAGTTCCTGACTATGCACACACATTGGTTCAGCCATTTGAGTGCTTGCCCCATAGAAGTGGGTAGAGATGTCTGGTGGCAAGGAAAAAAGGAAATGGTAGCCTTCTGAAATCTTTCTCCCTTTCAAATATTGTCCCTACAAGACAAAGTTATCCCTATGGGCAACCAAGGGTTTTGTAGGCATTGAGTGTTTTCTTAATGAGACCAGCAGTTTGGATCTCACTGCAGCCCGTGGAGGAGCCAGACACAATTTGTTGCTGCTACCATTATTTCCCTGTAGATTAATTATTGTAATTGTTTGCCAGTTCTCAAAAAATTAATTCAGAGCCATGACTCCTCTTGGCAGGCGTGCATATGCGTGCACGTATGGAAATTCTCATATGGTGTATGCAATAAATACAAATGATTTTTTGGGGAGGAGTGCAAGAGCATTATTACAGCAGCCAGGAACTGTTTTCAGTGGTGACCTTCAGCACCCTGTGGAGCCAGAGAGGTTTTAAAGGTTTGGAGATCCCCTCGTGGATGTAAAGCACTGACGTAAATTGTTGCTAAGTTGGGGTGCCAGCTGCTGTAAGTGATTCTTCAGAGGCCAACTGATATGCCTGGATTTATCTGCAGTGACCAAGGTTTTCAGTGCCTCCCTTCTCAGTGAACTAAAAAGGACCTGATGATACGAAGAAAACTTTGAAAAACATTTAGTTCTGTAAGCGGAGAACAGGTCTGCAGCCAGGCTAGATTAGGATCGGTGCTCACGCAGCTTCTATTCATAGGATCCTGCAAAATTTTGGTCTAGAGGGCATACCTAACCAGAGTGTTGGCCCTGGTGAACATGCTCATAGCAGGGTCTTAACACATTACCAGGAAACCAAGTTTAAAGGGAGACAACCCTTTACGGGGAGGGAGGCAAGCGCAGGTTCCTTCCCCTGGCTGTGGTTAGGTGATTTCTGAGTACAGGAGCAGTGTTTGCACTGCTGTGTGGTGTTGGGCTCCTGGGTGCTAGATTTGACTCAGCAGCCCTTGCTGTTTGCAGTCTGCATGCTAATGAGGTGGTGCAGTGCTGCATGCACAGGGCTGTCCTTTTAACTCAGTGAATTCCCAGATAATCTAAAAGGAAAATGAAACATGCAGCAAAACTGCTTACTTTTCTTGATAATGTAGTTAAAGACAAGTTGGGTAACTTTTGTTGAATTATCTGGGTCACTAGAGAGCAATTCAGACCTTCATTTATTAAAGTGCTCTTTGCACAAAATACATTCTAAATTGCTCTCTACAAGGCAGCTTAGTTTTATTTTAGCTTCGTGGCTGCAGATAAAAATATATTTCAACGGTAAGTCTGCATATGGCATGATTGCAAACCTTTGAGACTTCTGCTTTGAAATATCCAAAAAGCCATGAAAATACAATTTTTAAAAGGGCTGAGCAGTTCTGCAGTTAAGCTCCTTGAAGGATGCCCTGGTATCAAAGCGGTTCTTCTGTTCCCCAGTTTGGGATATTGGAAGTGAAATCCATTGCAAATGACATTTTTGTTCAGATCACCCATGGAGCCACGTTCAAAATTGATGCTACCAAGTGGGTAGGGATCAGAATTCTGGGAAGGGCATTATCTTGGATTGTGTTCTCCCTTCCAACCACGAGTCCTGGGTACCAGGCAGAGCCCTGCCTGCACACCCACGTGCCAGAGGTCTGTGAAAAAGTCACTTCATCCCCTTGACTCAGTTGCTCATCTGCAAAAGAGGGATGATGATTACCTCCTTTGTAAAGTGCTTTGGAATCTGCTGGAGATAAGTGCTTTGAAGAGAGGTGTTTTTCCTCTTCTCTCCAAGGCACAGAGCAGCAGCAATCCCACTGTTCCTGCCTTTGCTCTGCAGCATTGCTTCCTCCAAGGTGAATCAGGAATTGGTGGGGATATTGGGGTTGGAAACGTAATAGAGAGCCACAGTTTATTATTTTTTTTATCCTGTTCCACTCAACAAATTTACATGGTGCAGGTATCTTCCAGATAATGCTGTGACACAGCGTCGCTGTTTTCTAGAAATTTACCCTAATCCTGTAACGTATTTCTGTGTCTTTCTAGATTCTGAGCGTTCTCATCTCTCCTCGTTCACCATGAAGTTGAAGGGCAAGTTTCATTCACCAAAAATAAAGAGAACACCTTCAAAGAAGGGAAAACAAGCTGACCTGACAGTGAAAACACCAGAGAAGTCAGTGAACAAAGTAAGCCAGGGCCGTATTCTGTCAGTCCCGATGGTTTCTTGCTTCCTGGTACTCATTTTATGATATTCCTGGGTGTGACTTTGTCCTCTGCAGAATTCTACAGCTCATGGATCCTCAGGGTTACTTTATGGTTATTTATAAACTGCACTGTGTAGTATTAAATCAAGGCATGTACTTCCCTTTGGAGGGTATGATGAGACCTCCTTCCATAGGCATTTAAGTATCTCATTATGGAACGTGGTGTATGGCTTGACACATCCTCCCCACATGCACACCCTGTGGGTTAAGCTGACAGCTTCCAGATAACTGCCTGGTTTTGGGGTGTGATCCATTTGAAAACCCCAAACCCAGGCAGGCAAGTCCTTGAAGATGATCCAAAGATGTGCTCAATCCCTGGTGACATCAGCAGGGAGAGTCGAGCAGATGTGTTCCAGCAGCTGCTGATCCCAGCACAGTGTTCCTCAGGCCCAGGGTACTTCAGGTCCTCCAAGAGCTGAGGTCACAAACCTGTCAGTGTTATCTCCTCTCCTGTTGTGACCTGATTATGGAGGCTGGAGACTCTGGAGCAATGCTGTTGCAGTCAGTTTTCAAGTGTAAGTCGAAGCCAAAAGTTAAGAACAATCGAGGTTATTTATGATAATTCATAACATTTCCCAGTTGTTAAAGGTCTCATCCAGTGTGCAGTGCCAGACATGCAAACTTTTTTAGATTATCTCTGCTGGAGGTTGTTGCAGTGTTATTGAGAGCAACCAGCAAGATACAGTTATCTTATGCTGTATGATTTGCTTAACACCCAGAGAAGTTGCTGCAGGGCTTCCTCACCCTGTTCTGCACCATCAACTGGAAGATGATGAGGGTTTTTTTTCCCCAGGCTGTATTTTTTTTTTCCCCAGGAGGCTGTGAATACGCTTCCTAAAGAGCTGAGCACCTTGCATTGCTCACTGCTATTTAAAAAATAAAATAAAAATTAAATCTGAGAGTACTCCTTGAAGGCTTTTAATTCCGACGATGTTTCAGGATGGTACCTTGAGATAATTTAGAGGCCTTCCTTTAAACTGATATGTGACCACATTAAATGCATTAGAAAATGAAGAGCCCTTTTCAAAATGCTGTTCTATAGCAAATACATACTATGTTAATAATAGATGAAGTTTTTGCTTTTCTTTCCTTCCCCTAAAAACGATGCAAGAGGATTTACTAATAAGCCATGCTGCTCATCAAACCCTTTTTTTATGTACAGATTGGGATTTTTTTATTGGAAAACAAAACACTTGCAATAATTTTTATTACTGTACATGATTATTTAAGCTGTATTCATTTTTATACTGCGAAATATAGTTGATTTCTGGCTCATTCCTTATCTATTTTAATAGCTACTGGCCAACTAATCAATTAGTTGGATGTAGGCAGCTCATTAGCTTTGTGTGGAGGGAGTGGGGAAGAGGATATGCCTGGATTGCCGCCAGGTTTTCTCCCTGGAATATAGACATCAGTTGACAAACAGGAGATTTTCTGTCAGAAGGCACACTTGATAAACCAAATATCATCCTTTTCTCCCTCTTAAGTACTTAAGATGCTATTTTCGTGCTCTTGAAGTAGATAATCACTGTAGAGCAGAAATAGCAATACTAAAAATTAATGTAAAATCACCGTGTGTAAGCTGAAGGTTATGCTCAGCCCATGCAAACATCTTCTTCTCCTCTTCCCCTTTATACCTTGATGGGGGCAACACTGGAGGAGTTTTTTTCAGAGCCTCCTTTCGTCCCCCTGGACCCTGTCTTTGATTCTTATCATAGGGGATAGTGTAGGTACCATAGTGTCCTTTAACACTATATGCAGATTTATGACATGTTTTTCACTGCCAAAATGTAGGGGGAAAAGGGATGGTTCCAGCTTTTGTGGTTGGGTGTGTTCTGTACAGCTCACTGTGACCCTTGCTGGTCATCTGTGTCTCATACATGATGCTTTTGCCATGATTATTTAAGGGAAAACTTCCAAAATCATCCAAAAATATCTACGTGTGCCGGACAGGGGAATGGAGATGCTGTTTTGCCTGAATTTTAAGTTTTTCTCATTTAATGCCCCAAAGGGAAATGGGTGGATGCCCCATCCCAGGAAATGTTCAAAGCCAGGTTGGATGGGGCTTGGAGCAACCTGGTCTAGTGGAAGGTGTCCCTGCCCATGGGAATGAGATCAGCTTTAAGGTCCCTCCAACCCAAACCATCCTGGGATTTTATGCTTACATGCACACCTAGGTATGAAATCTTTGGTCCTTGGAAGAGGATTCATTAAAAAGTGTTCTTAGGGAATATCACCCAAAGAGCTAGAAGGGAAGCTGGAAAAAAAGGAAAAAGGGCTGTGTCCCAGATAGTGGCTGGAATCACATACCTTGGTGCCCTCGACGGAAGGGTTTGTGTTTCCACTTGTCATTCTGAACTCTCAGTCAGGCCCATCCCTCCCATGCACCAGGAGAGTGTTTAAGCTATTAAGCCTCAAGCCTTTCTGCAGGAAGCAGTTGTTGAATGAAATCCATAAACAGCCACCGGAGCAGGAAGTGCAGCCCACATTTTTTCACTTCTGTTTGAGAGCTCTGAGTGCTGGGCCATGGTCAGACTCGCTCGGGGAATACACGGACTCTCTGATCCCTGAAATGTGTGATCATCCCATATGAAGTGCAAAACCTTCAGGGAGAGACTGAACCTCTCCATAGATGAATGGGTTGGACTCAATGATCTTAGAGGTTTGTTTCCAGCCTAAGTGTTTTTATGATTCTGTATCCCGGATTAAGCTGTGCACAGTGGTGAGGCCACGTGCCTGCAAAATGGGAAATGTCCTTTTTCATATCAGTGAGTTGCCAGGATGCTCCTCAGCAAGAGAGTTCAGGGCACTCTGGGCTACAGATCAGAACTTGAGGTGCCTGGCTAGCAGTATTGTCAAAAAAGTGGAAGCAGCAGCAGATTTTGGGCCCTTCCCAGATGAGATAGAAAATGACAGAGTGGTTTGCAGATCTTGGATTGGAACTTAGACTTCTAAAGTTGGAGCTAGATGGAACTTGGGATTCTAATCCTTTTATGCAACTGGCCCCAAATTACAAACCAGTGCTGCCTATAAATTGTTCCTCCTAAAACCTTTTGGGCTGCTGGCCTGATTTTGCAGAAAAGCAGCAGTTTAACAGCTGACAAGAGTATGGGGAGCACACAATGCCCATAGGTCATTAATTCTTGAAGGTGAATTTACTGAGGAGATAATGGATGAAATCTGACTCTGTTAAGCTCTGCTCCTTTTCTAGCAGTGTGCAGGAGTTAATTTAAATCTCACTTAGGAACTACTTGTGGCATTAAAAGTCCTCCAGGCATACTCTGGTAAACTTTCCCTGTCCAGAGTGCCATTAAGGTATCGTGTATCACTTCTGAATTTCCTCTTCTGGTGTTGGTGGTGGCACGAAAGTTGGTGACAACTCAGCCTTATTCCAATGAATTGTTCCCTTCTGCAACTTTCATTCCCCAGTGCCAAAATTTAGCTTTCACACTTTGTCACAGTGTGTGAGTTTTCTTGCTCCAGCAGCATCACAAAATTACTTAGCTTGGAGGTTCATCAGAGTGGGGTTTTTTGTTTGGAGGTTTTCTTATATTTTTCAAGGGCATGTAGTGATAGGACAAGGGTGATGTCTTCACACTGACAGAGGGCAGGTTTAGATTAGATATCAGGAAGAAATCCTTCCTTGTGAGGGTGCTAAGGCCCTGACACAGGTTGCCCAGAGAACCTGTGGCTGCCCCATCCCTGGAAGTGTCCAAGACCAGGTTGGATGGGACTTGGAGCAACCTGGGCTAGTGGAAGGTGTCCCTGCTCATGGCAGGGAGTGGAACTAGCTGGTCTTTAAGGTCCCTCCAACCCAAACCATTCTGTGATTCTGTGATAAGTTTTTTTCTTTCACCCTTCCCAGTTTGGCCTGGGGGTTTCAAAGCAGTGCCCTTGATGTCATCAGCAGTGTTAATCTTGGCCTAGAACTGATCAAGATTAGCCTTCAATGTGGAATGCAGGTAATGCAGAAAGTTAAAGCATGGGTGTAATTTTGCCCTGACTGTTCTTTTGAAAGAGCAGTAACTCAGTTTAAAAGTGTTTGTGGTAGAAGGGGTTTTTTCCACTCCTCATGGAATATACCTCAGTGTCACCATACTTCAGGTGTGTTCAAGGAACCTTGCCCTTAAAAACCCTGAAGTTTTAACATATCTCTCCTTTTTTCCCCCTCCTCTTTAGAATGTCTCGTGGCTGGAGGAGAAGGAGAAGGAGGTCGTCAGTGCATTGCGCTACTTTAAGACTATTGTGGATAAAATGGCAATTGATAACAAAGTATTAGAGATGCTGCCAGGCTCAGCCAGTAAAGTGCTGGAAGCCATCCTGCCCTTGGTGCAAACTGATCCTCGCATCCAGCAAAGGTGAGTTTCCTCCTTGGATTTTGGGACCATGACAGACCAACGGCCCCCCGGCTTCTCTCCCTGTGTGTCTGAAGCCCCACATCGTGCAGGGGACAGGGAATGCTGTGGTGGCTGATGAAGTGACTGCTATTTTTACTAATTATGTGGTGGCTTTCAAACATAATTTATAAGGAGATTCCCTGCTGCGAACGAGCTCGTGCTGTGGAAAGATAAAGCAAATCAGACTGGTTTCAGAGAGGAGGAAGGGATGATTCTTAGCATAAACTTGGAAATTCATTGTTTGCTAGTGGGAGATTCTCCTCAGATGGTATTACTGTTTCTGTAGTCCATGATGGTACCCTGAAAGCTAACAAATCCAATAGCTTTACCTGAAAAAGGAGTTTATCTTCAGAGTAATCCTTTTTTGTGTTCAGTTTATCCACCCTGATGTTACAGAAGTCTGAGCCTTCACTCTTTACTGATTTTTTGGATTTTACTGGATCAGATGTAGAAGTAAATAGATGTACTTCAGCAGATTAACCAAGTTCATTCCCGTGCTCACTCAACAGATTATTGTTTTATGTTTTAACAGATTATGTGTATTATGTTTTTAGCAGTTAGGCCGTGGGTTTGAAGCCATGAAAGAAGTAGAAATTTGCCAAAGCCAAGCTCATCATGGATTATAAGAATTTGTGGACTTGCCAAACCATAGAGATACAGCTGCTGTTCATCCCATGGATGCTGGAGCTGTTGATTTACAGAAAACAACCATTGTTGAATAAAATGGAAAGAGCAAAGTTAGCACAGACAGAGAAAAGCAGATAAAACTAAGCAGAGAAATGCAGGTGTTCGGTTCCTGAAATCCTGCCAGGTTTTGCCCTGTTCCTATTTGTTCTCCCATTAAATATCTCCAAATTTTTTTCTTTCAAGATCCTTATTTTAACTCTGGTGCAGGAAGGGTTTATAGTATGGTTGAGTCAGCACTTTTCAAAGACTTTTCAAACAGAATGCTCAGCTGTGTTTGGCCCCAATGCACAGGCCAAATAGGTCAAAAGGAAGGAGGCAATGGGATTGTATCAGTCCTGTGGCTGAGACAGGTAAGATCCAGTTTAGGTTGGATCTGTTGAACCATAAAGTCCAGTAGCTCTTGGAATGGGAATGTTCATCAGAGTTCTGGATACAGACATTAAAGTTTCTTCAGTTGTTACCGGGTTTCCCCTTGCCATTAAATTCCTGACAAGCACCTGCTTTCACTTAATAAAAGAGAGAACAAACTTTCCTCTTACACCAAGAGAACATGTGAAATGTCAGCAAGTATGTTTAGGATAGAACATGTCATTTTTATAATCACTTGATTTGATTTATGTATTCAGGGGGTGTTTGCTGGGTGATTTTTCCTTCCAAGAATATACTTGGAAATAAATATCAAATAAGTGGTGTTCAGCAGATGAAGTATTTCAGACTTTTCTATTCTTCACAATTTTTATCTGTTCTCTCTTAGTAGTGAACTCATGCAAACTTGACTGTTGGATACCCATATTTGTCCATATAAGCAGAATTTTCAGTCAGTACTCAGTGGAGTCTTCTACACAGTGATAAGTCTCTCTTTCTGGAAACAGTGTGGATTAAGGCACAGATCCCATGTGTATGCTCTGCCTGTTTTAGCCTCCCAAAAAACCCAAAAGGAAATCTGGCTTTCTAAAAAAGCCATGTCCTTTCCTGCCTACCTATTGTACTTTAGTGGCAGGACACAAAGGGGTGATTTTGATGGCAAATCCCCCTCAAGAAAAGTGAGCAAGACTTGTGTCAGTGTAGAAGAAAGCCCTACAATTACTGTTGGACTTCTTTTTGCTTTAGGGGAAGCATTTGCATCAAGGAAAAAAGTAATTAAATCTAGCACAAAATGGGCTTTCAATTACCGCCTCCTTAGAAGGAAGCAGGCTGAAGATTAATGGCAAAGAAATCAAAGCCACAGAAAGAGATGGGGGAGGGCCCTGTTTAGGAAATATCTCCTACCAAGCTAATTTCATCTGAAATGAGAACAAATGGCAAGCAGCATCCTTTAAAAAAAAAAAAACAAACAACAAGCACACTCAAGTCCTTGCCATTGTTTGTATCCCCTGGTCATAAGGTGACAACAGTTCTTTCCCCAGTCCTGCAAACCTCATTCACCTAAATAAACTCATTGAAGCTCGTGGGCTTGGTTCTTTTCTGGCAGATAATGAAATTACTGGAGTTAAGCCAATGTAAAATGGATAGCAAAGAGAAACGGGGAAGAGCTGGAACACTTGTATCAGTAATGATTGCAAGATTACACCTTCTCTTATCTGTTTATGGTTTTGATGCAGCTTGAAATTGATTTAACTTGACAAAGAATTGCTGAAGCGCTGCCATCAGCAGTGCTGTTAACACACCTTGTTTAGTAATGAAGTCAGTGTTTTCAGAATGGCCAGGAAAATGCCTGGGAGCACTGTTGTTACAGTTAACTTTTATTTAGAGTTGTCATCCTTCCAAAATTCTTCCCCCCCCCCCTTCAGAACAATAGCTTCAATTCTGTTTCTCATTAAAATCAAAACAAAGCAACACCCTTCCTTTTTCAGACCTGAAATTCATTCAGTTCAATTTCTCTAAAGAAGTAATTTTAATTACATGTTTTCAGGCATTATAAACAGTGAGGCAGTCGTTTGTAAAGGAATGAAGAGAGTCAGCTCTCAATGATCCAGGGCATTTTTGGTGAGAGTTAATAAGGAAGAAGGAAACCAAATATAATACTGAAATAATATAGGTTAAACTTAAATGTAGCACTTAAGTACTTATGGTCAAAGTTAAGGCATAGGATGGAGCTGTAAATTAAAAGGGAAGGAATGTTATTTTTAGCATTGCTGTGTTAACCTGCAGCCCAGATAATTCCTTCTGATAGCTGGGAATGAACTGTTGATGGTTTGTACTTTCATATTGTCATCCCCTTGGGTGCTAGAGAATGGGAGAGCAACTGCAACTGAGCAACTGAAGAGAACCCTGAGCTTTGTCACCTGCTACACACAGATGAAGTATTCCAGACTTTTCTATTCTTCACAATTTTTATCTGTTCTCTCTTAGTAGTGAACTCATGCAAACTTGATGTTGGATACCCATATTTGCCCATATAAGCAGAATTTTCAGTCAGTACTCAGTGGAGTCTTCTACACAGTGATAAGTCAGAGAGAAAAGGAGAACAATCACACTTTTAACAGTGTGAAATGCACTCTCATAACATTTGATAATGTCCCCATAATTTCATTTTGTTCTTTTTTTCCTCCTCTGCTGCCCAGTTCTGCCATCTCGTCCTGCTACAGCCGCGTGTACCAGAGCCTGGCCAACCTCATCCGCTGGTCTGACCAGGTGATGCTGGAGGGGGTGAACTCAGAGGACAAGGAGATGGTGACAACAGTGAAGGATGTCATAAAAGCTGTTCTGGATGGAGTCAAGGTACACCAGAGAGATATTGTAAATCACATTATATAAAGTACGTGATAATGTGTTTTAGAAAAGATCTATATAAAAGAGGTTTTTAAGTGTGGGTTAAATATGAAGGTCCTATTCTTGCCTTCAGTCAACTATCTCTTAAATCAACTGCTCCATAAGTGAAATGATCCTGCTTGGAGTGCTGGTTAAAGATTAGCACAAACATATTGGCTCTTAGTGTGAACTTCTGAAATGCTTACCCTGGCATTTGGGTGAATTAGAAGAAGCAATAAATCTTTATTTGGCATTGTATTAATTTTTCGGCAAGTCATTCCCAGTCTCCTATGCAGAGTTTGCATATTTTCTGTCTAGGCAAAATAAAATTAAAACACTCCCTGTCAATGCCCACAGAGAATCAAAGGCTCCAGCTCCATCTTCTGAGGTAAAATTCAGGGGATTTGTCAGTGATACATCACCACTGTCAGCGGTTGGATTAGGGTGTGGAATAGGTGATGAGCTAAACTCAGTTTTCTGGAGATTAATTTTGCATAACTAATGGAAATGTTTAGCAGAAATCTTTGTATCCATTGTGAGACCTGCTTGTAGCATTCCCTCACTTTTCCACCCTGGGAAAGCTATTGGATTTCCTTCTACCTCCCTGGGAGCTTTTGGTACCCATTATTTCTGTGTCCCAGGCTTGTCATTCACCTGTCTTAAAACTGCAGGTAAAAGTTTGCATGACCTGGGTTTAGGACAGACTGTCATCTCCTGCTGAATGCAAAAACAAAGTGGATCTCCCAGGCTTTGACTGTCACATTTTCAGGCCTCTTGGTTTGCATCCTCTGGATATCTCTTTAGATACTAAAGTCTGCTATTACTTTATGAGCCTTTTTAAGTAAATATCTTTGAAACAAAACATTTCCATCACCTAAAGAAGACGGATTTTCCAGGATTATTTTGCGCAATATGCTCTTTAAGCTCCACGTTTTAAAAGTAAAGCTGGTCTTAAATTTGCACAGCAGGAGAGAGAAAAAGAGTTTAGCCCAAAGTCTCAGCTGCTGTCAGTGTGGGAATTCAGCAGCAATTTGCAGTATGTGAAAATCTGTAATATCTGAACTGTAATACCCCAGCAAATGGTGAGTTATCACTGACTGGATCTGCACAATCCTGTGGAGAGAGGTGTTATCCCCAGATCCAGGGCAGAATTGTGTGGTCTCATTGCAGGCAATTTGGACACACGTTGTCCTTTCACTTCAAGCAGTATTTAAACCCTTGGTACCTGTTGCTTCCAGTCAGAGCAGCATCCTCTCTGGATGGGGGAGAAGGTCTGGGTTGGGGGAAAAGCCTTGGATGGGAGAAGATCTCAGTCTTGGATGTCTGGTCTGTGATCCAGCCCAGGCTGGAGCAGCACGGGCATGTCCATGCAGTGCTAAACCTGAGCTCTGGAGCCCTGCTGAGCTCTGTGGTTATATCAGTCTCTACTTTGCTGTTAGACTAAAACTTATTTTGGCCTTCCAGTTGGAGCTGACTTGTGTCTGGTCAGCCTGGAACATGGTTGGAGCAGATGTGTGGCTGTCTGGGTAGACATGAACGTCTCTGCCCACCAACAGGGCAGCATTTGGAAGTGGCGTGTTCTCATCTACTGCATGGCAAAGCACAAGGTTTATTTTAGTAGGGCCAAGCCAAATTTTCAGATCTGGAAGCAGAACTGAGAAGTTGGACACTTCTCTCCACAGCAGAACCTACTTTGTTTTTCTGGCAGATCACACAAGATCCACTTCCACATTTCAGTGCTTACTTCCTTCTTTATTTTCAGAACTGAGCATAAAGGAGTCACTTGTTCACCTCTGTAACTTGATGTTTTGGTCTCAGGTTTTAGAACCTTGCTAGGCATATATAAAAGGGGAAAAAATTCCTTGTTTTGATTATATAACTTCTTAAAAATCCCTCTCCTTTTGGAATTTCCAGCTTGCTGAAGTAGCATAAGTTTGCAGAGAGGCTTTAATTATCTCTAATTACTGCTGCAGGAATCTCTTTCCTTGCTGATAAGGAATAGCATAATGTGCATCTGGCTCAGTTGTGTGCTGATTACCTCTGTGTGTATGCTAAAGATCTTGGCTTGATTTTCAAATGCTAGTTCTCACTTTGGGGATAGTAGAGAGCAGGAACAGTCAGGGTCTTGTCAAAGTTTGAAGGGAAAGTGGTCCTCCCAAGTATTAACAATCTTACATTGTGTTGGTGCCTCTGGTGAGAGGGGCTTTGGGGTTTTTTCCCCACAGTCCCAATGCTTTGAATCATTCTGAAGATATTTTTGAGCCAAAACAGATTGGTTTTCTCCCATTTTAACCTACATTCCCGTGTGGTGGACAACTGTGTGTCCATTATGACTGGCAAACTAGTGGTGAAGAAAGGTGAGGAAAAGGAAACGTTACATTTTCCCTTCCATAGCCATTTCAAGAGAATGTTTAAGGAGTAAGTTGGCTTTTGAGTTTGAATGTTTTATTTCCCTTCTTGTGCTCTTGTGCATTTGCAGTTCTTGCTGGCCAGGACCCAACAGCCCCTCAGGGTTTGACTCCCAGTCTGTTAAAGTGCCTGAGGGTCTCCAGAAACCTCTTCAGCAGTGGGATTTTGTGCAGAAGGCAGGAAGGTGGCAATCCATGGTGTCATCACTCAGGCCTGACAGTGACTGGGAGCATGGTGCCAGCTGCAGCCATAAAGGTCAAATGGTGTCACTGTGTAATTTCCAAATGGCCCAATTCACAGAAAAACCTTCTCTGGGGTTTGTAGGCTCCCAGGTCCTACGGTTGTTTTTCCTGGTGATGTTCTGTAAACTTTACAGGGGAATTTCTGAAGTCTAAAAGGAATAGCAAGGTTTTAATTAAAGACTGTTCATCCTGAAAGAGAAGATAAAAGAGAGGAAAGTACATTTTGTTAAACTAGTTTCTCTTGAGTAACAAAGGACACTCAGCAGAGAGGTCTGAGGTCAGCTCAGTGTCCGTGTTACCACTGTAGCAGTTTTCTCATTGGAGGGCCTGAATTATTTGACTTTACTGTGTAACTTGCATTACCACAGTGTTGCTGATGGATTGTCCAAAGCTCTGTCAGTGTGTTGTTCCTTGTTGCTGAGTATTTCCCTGCTGAGGGATGTGGCTGCCCTGGGAGGTGGGGGCTGGCCAGGCTGTCCTGTGGTCAGCTTTGGTGCTGTGCTCGTCCTCCTCAGGGCACTTCTCAGAACACGCTGTTCCTCGCCAGGGCTCTCATCTGTCTGTCCCAACAGGAACATCTTCATAGCATTAGTCCCCATGGACATCTGTGTGTGCTCTGTTTGTGCTCCCTCTTCCTTCCCCCTGTGTGGGATTTTCCAGGACAGCTTGTGGAAAGCTGAGTGTTTGTCCTGGTTTTGGTTAACACAGTGCACATTCTGTTGGAGCACAAGCTCACACCAAGAATGTTAAGTAAAACATGGAAACCAAAATGAGCTGAGGTGGACACTTGGACACTGTGTTTGCCATCCTCTGCACATCCAGTGCAGCACCTTATTCCTCTTGTTGTGCATGTGTTAACCCATGGAAATTCAGCTTTAAGTAGAGCCTCATGCAAAAATACCAGAACTAAAATATTTTCCTTCCTCGGAAGGATGATGGTGGTGACATTCCAGTTGCAGTTACTGCACTGAGAGAGCAATGCCAATTGTTTCCAAGCTCTGCAGACAAGGACATGAAGATGATGCTGGAATGATGACACTGTACTTCAGGCTGCTTTAAAAAAAAAACGAATTAAAATTGATCCCATATAATTTCCTTTGCGTAATACGCTGGGAAGCCAATACTGTCAGGAAGCACTGCCAGTTTTCCAGCCTGCCTCTAACAGGGCATGTGTCTGTATCTGTGAGCAGTAGATCTGTTTGTTGGCCTCAGACATCCATAAAATGTTCTCTCCATCTTTCTGGCGTGAATGATTGTTGCTTTGACTGCTGGCATACTTAGAGTTCAGGATTATCGTGCCCTTATCTCTTTATCCAGAGCCTTATCTGCCTATAACAGATGCACTGCAGTAGCTCCTTGAATGATTAAGACTTGCATTGCTAACATGTTAAAAAGTGGCTTCAGGGGAAGCAGGCCTTTTAATAAAGGGGTTCACTGTTTAATGTGTTGTTGGGCATCCTACAGAAAACTTGCTTTTTTGAACAAATACATATTTATTTATAAAATATAAAACAATTACTTAATGGAGAGTTTTTTTGGCTAGGTGAAGTGCTCCACTGGGTAAGACTGTTCTGTACTTATATTTACATATGTAAAGCAAATTTGCCATTATCTAGGGTGTTGTGGGGACTGGAACACATTTGTGATGATGGAGGAAAGAGGAAGCACAGCAAAAAGACGTGTGGGTTTGTGCAGAATCCCCATAGGGCCAGGGTTTATGAACTTAAATATGGCCAAACTGCTGCTGGGTGCAGGCTGCTCCTTAGCAGCTGTTCTGCATCATTTCTGTGGCTCTGTACCAGACCTACACCCAGCTCAGCTCTCTCTGTGTCTGCTAACAAGGAGTTCACTGCAGTAGCATCCCTTTCTGTTCTAGGGTGTTTAAGTGCAACATTCAGCAAGTAATGATTATTCTCTTTTTCTTCTCTCCATCCATCAGGAGCTGGTCAGACTCACGATTGAAAAGCAGGAGCATCCCTCTCCCACAAGCCCAGTTAAACCCAGTTTACCAGCATGTAAATCTGACAGGTGGGTCCACTGGCAAGGATTTCTTCTGTGTGCAGGACTAGTATAGAGGGGATAATTTCTGTCTACTGCTGGTTGAGGTAAAGCATTCACTTATTCTTCACAGAGGGTAGTGTAGTGTTCTTTATGGAGCCCCATCCATTTCTGTGGGACCACTAAAAGAGAATATCCTGTGGTAGGAAAAAACCCAAAATCTGGCAATGAGACATCCCCTGTGACACGTGCACATTCTATTCTACGCATACATGGAATTCCACCTGCAGATGCAAATTCTGCTTTCTGCTGTCTGTTGTATTGCACATGATTTAAAATAGGAATGAATCTGTCAGCAGGCTGCATTCCAGCTGTGGTTTGTGATCTACAATCTGTGTTTTGCATGTTGCAGCCCATCAGAACTTCCCCTTACAGACCGAGAAATGGAGATCCTCAACAAGACAACCAATATGACTCAATCCAACGAGCTGCTGACTGACTCCATGGATGAAGAAGTTGCACCTCCTAAACCCCCTCTGCCCAGCATTCGTGTGGCAGAGAACAGGTAATACTGGCCAGTCAGCTGACTGAAGAACACCAGTGCCTCTTAACCAGCTTGTTGGTTTTTAAACAGTCTTGCCAAATGGGCACAAGAGAATTCGTGAGGAGGGTTAGTGCTGCCTCTGAATTTCCAGTCTTCCAGAGTAATTATTCCCTGCTCCTGGAGTGCTTATGAATTTGTGTTCTGTCTGATTATTTTCTCTTTGTGTTTTCCTTTTCTTCTCTTTATGTGAGGATAGTGCCATGCCCTGAGGTCCGTGCATGAGAGGCATCACATAAATCTGTAAAAACCTGGTGTAAAACTGTGGGAATTCCACACTGTACAAGTGTTTGGTGCTGCTGTATCCGATGGGAAATGTTTCTTTAACCTCAGCTGGCAGTTACCAATGTGTCCTGCACAGCCAGGTTGTTCTGCATTGTTTATCAGAGGTGGTTCTGCATTGCTTATCAACTTAAGAGTGAAAGGAGCCAAAAGTGTGTGAAAAAAATCTTGTGCTTGGTTGTTCTTACCCCGTTCTACGAGTAACCACATGAAAGTTTCTGTGTTCTATTTTGAGAAGGAAGAGAAAACCCCCAATTTGCAGGTTTTTGGTCTGTGTGTGTGATGTTTTTCTTCTCTAGGACTGGTGCTAGTGGCTGGTGTGAAAAATATATGTTGTATTAATATAAAAGTGCAGCATCAAGGGCTATGACTGGAAAAAAAAGTCACATTTCTGCATGTTTTATGAATTCTCATGGGTTATATAAAAAGCTCCTCTTCAAAGAACAGAACATGTGTGCTCTTGGGAACCTCCCAGGCTTGATGATTACCAGAATTATGTGTCATTAGAAGCAAAAAGTAAAAATTCTGGGGTTAAATTCTCACTAGGTGCTGCTAATGTGTACGTGTGAAACAGATTCATGCCAAAACACGGGCCCTTACAGTGTCTGTGGTGAGAGCAGCACTGACTTTCTTGTTCCCTGAAGTTCACTAAGAAAGTAGAAAGGGCAGAAAAAGAATTTTCCTCTCCTGTGAATTTTTGAAACTTTGAACGTTCTTCAAACCTTGAAGGTTTGAGAAGGGAGTGTACAACGGAAACAATATTTGGGTCAACCAAAACATTTAATTTGGATTTTCGCTGCTTTTAGTAAGAAATAATTACCATGCTAATTAGCTTCATTAAAAATACTTTTTAAAACAGCAGTTGTTTTTGTTTGAGAAATACAACTCTTTTCCAGCCTTAAAAAATAAGTCACTGAACAGGACAGTACCTGTGAGAATATTCTTAAATTAACGTTTGTTAGTGGATGCAGTTTGCTGAATAGCTCCTGGCTGGCAAAGGCTTTCTAGAAAACAACTTGTGAAGACTGTAGAAAGTCTTTTTGCTGGAAAAGTGATGGAAGTGTTGATGCCTGTTGTGTCTTGCAGCCCTCCACCAGCACTGCCCCCTAAAAAACGTCAGTCGGCACCTTCCCCGACCAGAGTGGCAGTTGTGGCCCCCATGAGTCGAGCTACCAGTGGGTCCAGTTTACCTGTTGGAATCAACAGACAGGTAATGGCACAACCCCTTGGTGAAAGCCAAGGGGAAACGTGCTGAGAACTGTAGCAAAAGCTCAGAGAAGTGCCTTGACCTGCAGGGACACAGATCCCTCCAGGGCTCTGCTCATCCCAGACAGCCCCGCACGGGAGAGCTCTGCAGTGGGAGCTTCAGTGGCAGGAACGTCAGCACAATAAATAATGTGAACAGCTTAATATTTTTTTACAGTGTTGTTGTGTTTATTTAACAAATTGCTACAAACTTCATTGCCTTGAGCTGTAGCAGAGTGTGAGGATGGGAGCAGTTGGGTGTTGCCATGTTGAATGGATCAGGGGACAGAGCAGCTGGCTGAGCTCACCCAGATCTCACCGTGGTTTACTTACAGCCCAAGGGAGCATGTGGCAGGGTGAGATCAGAACTCTGTCTTCATCCAGTCACAATTTAAAACATCTTTTAACTCAAGCAGTAGTTTGAGGGAAATTTGTAAATTTTATGTTAGAAAAATGGAAAAGTTGGTGTGTGTTAATCACATTCCATTTCTTGTGCTAGTCTGGGGTTTATGAGGTTGTAAATGGCTGGGTTTGCTTTACACATTCAGGAACTTACTAACTCAGCAATGAGGACCTCAATCTTATTAAATTGCCCAAAAATCAAATCTTGTCCTCATCCCCAAAGCCTCAGCTCTGGCTTAGGGAGCCTCTGCAGTCATTTGACCGACCCAGATAAAACCATGACCATTCTTCAGTTACTGGTACAGTCACACTAAGGTTTTTCTGATGGAGTGGGAATAGTTGAGGGTTCATTCACAGGTTGATAAGCTTGAGGTAATTTCTGAAATAGAACTGTAGTCATGGTCCCAGAAAGTTGTATCGCACTATGATTTATTTTCCCTTTTGTGCAACCAAGCCAACTGAGTATTTGCTAAAGCCCCAGGTATTTTAAGAGAAATCTTGCAGTCTTATTACCTGGCATCAGTGTCATGACAAGGAGTCATCAGCAGTGAGGAACTCTATCAAATCTTCACAGCACCTGTGAGGTCCATGTGGGTCACACCATGCCCAGCCTGGAAAAAGAATACCCAAAACTCCCTGGCATGGGTTATTTACCAATCAGGGGGTTTCTGTGCTCCCCATGAGCTTGTCTACCTAGAGAGGGCCACCAGCACTGATCCTCTCCCCTCCTGCGAGGCGTTTGTGCCTCGAGCTTCATCTTGCTCACAGGCGAGCTTTCAGGAAAGGTGGTTATTTGATGTTCTTTTTGCTGAAGGATTTTGATGTTGACTGCTATGCCCAGAGAAGATTGTCAGGGGGAAGCCACTCCTATGGGGGGGAATCTCCTCGTCTCTCACCGTGCAGCAGCATCGGCAAGCTCAGCAAGTCTGACGAGCAGCTCTCGTCCCTGGACCGCGACAGCGGCCAGTGCTCCCGGAACACAAGCTGTGAAACCCTGGGTGAGTTCTCCAGGCCTGGTGGGGTCCCCTTCCCTCTAGTTTGGGAGCTGTCATAGTTGGGATGCAGAAATAAATGGGTTGTGCCTGCAACTGTTGTGTTGCAGTTGCTGCAGGCGATTCTGTGCAGAATTATTCTGTCAGATAGGAAAAAGCCCAGGGGAATGTGTTTCCCTGGCTGTTGTAGATGATTGTGTTCAAACTCAGTTCGGCTCTCAAGTGGAATGTTTTGTTGCTTTCAGCCTTGTCTGCAGAAATTACGATGCTGGTAGACTAAAGCAATGTTGTTTCTGTATACTAGGAAAGAAAATAAAAATATAAATATGAAACATAAATTATGTCTGCAGTCATCTACCTAGTGAATTTTTGTTGTTTGTTTGTTAGTGTAAAGAATTAATTACAAGTTTTGTAAAGTCTAGATGTCACAGAAAGTGTAGAAGATGGTCTCAGCTTCAAGGAAGTTCCACCCTGATTAAAATGAACTGATTAATTACTGATGGAATGGGAGGGACAGAACTGAGAAGGACTAAACAGTAAAAGAGAGAAACTAATGTCACATTCTCCTGTCCCCTCTGTTTAACCAGATCAATCGGATCACTATGATCCAGACTATGAATTCCTGCAGCAGGACCTCTCCAATGCTGATCAGGTACCTCAGCAGGTGCCAGGTATCCTCAGCCCATTGCCAGAGTCCTTGGGTGAGTCTGGCTCCCCTTTCCATGGACACGCTTTCCAGCTCCCGCAGGGCAGCTCTCCTCCACTGGAATTCTGCAGCCTCTCGGGATCAGCACCACCAACAGAGACTCCTCCAGCTTTACCAGAAAAGAAGAGGAGAAGTGCAGCCTCCCAGACTTCTGATAACTCAGGCTGCAGGGTGTCCTATGAGAGACACCCTTCCCAATATGACAACATCTCCGAGGATGACCTGCAGAACGCCGTGGTTGTCCCATCAATACCCTTCACGCCGTTTGCTGCTGTTTTGCCTTTCCAGCAAGGAAACTCTTCAGCTCCAGTGGAATTCATTGCTGACTTTGCTGCTCCAGATTCTAACAGTGACCCAGAAAAGCCACCACCTCTGCCAGAGAAGAAAAACAAACACAGTAAGCAAGTTTTGGGGTTTACTTGTACCTTTCCCTTTCTTTGCAGTTGTCATGCTTCTGATGACCACTGAGTAATGGTAGTGACACTGCCTATGTGTGTCTGAGTGTCAAAATCAGTCAGTGTTAAAGGCATGGAATGGAAATGTCAGTCCTTTGGTGGGCAGGGAGTGACTCTTGGAGCCAGGATCAATCCAGGCCCAGGGGAGCTGGCATCACACATCTTCATTACTATAGTGAGACCATTTTACTTCTCTGTTTACCTGAATGTGAATCTTTGAGGCACTTTGCCTTGCAGATCTTCCTGGTTTATTCTCCCTTTTTATGTCCATTCCTTCTCCCCTTCCCCCATTTTGTGGTTTCCCCCTGCGGAAAAGAATTGGATCCTCTCCAAGAGCTTGGAGAAAGGGCTGCTTTTCTGTCCAAAACCGAGCCTTGCCAGAGCAATTATTTGGCAACAGGAGCACAGTCACCCACATAGCTGTGCAAGACAACACTATTAACCCAGTGTCCAATACTGCTGTTTTACTCTGGGATCTCATTTCCTTTTGGATGCCTGAGAATTTCCCACATCGTTAAAACGAGCAGCCTCTAAAAGCGAAGGCTCCCGACCCCAGCCAGACTGCTGGCACACCAGTGCTGACCACAACTCAAGCTCATAAACCTTCTTCTGATATCCTTAATGGCTGAAAAATGTGGGACCTCCTGCCAAACACTTGGCCATACTGCTCTGCCAAGGAAGGCTGTGGGCTGCACAGGGAGATCCAGCAGATGTTTGCTGGTTGCTGACTGGCTTTGCAGTTGTGTGTTGCATGGGGAGGCAGTGTATACGAGACCTGGATGAAGAACATTGTGTTGCATGGCTGGCAAGAGAAGAGCTGATTTCAAAGTGCTGAGTTGGCTTTCTGATTCCTCTCTGCAGTTTGTAGACTTTGCACAGAGAATAACTTTTGCCCAGAATGGTTGTGGACTCCCCATCCCTGCAGGTCCTTCCAACCCAAACCAGTCTGAGATCCTGTGATTCCATGAATAACATGGGAGTGAGGTGGCATGTTGTACAGGAGGGTCACTATTCTGTCCATTCCTGTGTAGTGTACTCTGCCAGTCACTTCTTCAAAAATGTGCCTTGTCTAAAAGCATTTCCATTATCCCTAAGTGGCCAGTCCACATTAGTAACCCTCAGGGATTTTACTCAGAGCACAAGCCTTGACCCACCTGAAAGTGAGGGTCATCTTGTAGTTCAGTGTCCCCATATGCAGGAAATCACTTTTGTCTCTCTCTGGTAATCAAGCAAGTTAAAGATATTAAAAGCAGCTAAAAAGGAGCTGAGATGTTTGTCGGTAGACAACAGACAGGAAATAAATGCTGGCACAGGGCATAGCCTGGGCTGGTTGTTATGGCTTGTGCTGTTCAAAATACTCATCTGCAGTACCAGCTGTGATACAGAGCACCTTCCTGCAGGGTCAGGTCACTGTGGGGCTGCATGTGAGTAACAATGGAAGGGTGTTACACCACTCAGACTGGGATGGATGCAGGGAAATGCACTTCTGTGCACACAGGCAGCTTTAGTGGAGAGGAGATTCCTGGGCAAATCTTGGGAAAGAGGCAGTTTAGCAGCTGAGAGACAGACCTGGGCTGTTTGCTTTTCTCTCTAAGCCCTGTTTCTTTGTTTTCTGTTATCATATGAGATGTCAAGGAGTTACTTAAAAACAAGTTTAAAAGCTATCTTTTGCATTATTGCCCGAGCACAATTTTAACCTCAATAGCAAGGCCTTGTATGTGAATTTTCTTTGATGTTAGAATAGAATGAATTGTCATCTGCCACTATCAGAAGTTTTGGGACTATTGATCAGATTGCATTGTTAGGAGAGGAAGAAGCTGTTATCTAGTGTGTTGTCAACTCTGATGGTTTGATGAAGCATCCTTGTTGCAAAGCTTTGGGCTGATAACTGGCTGCTGCAAATTTTTTAGTTGCGTTCATGTGGCACTGAGAACTCATTTTAGGTTGTCTTTACTCCACGGTATATCACACCACAGATCTATGGTTGCTAGTTTTACTTTTATTTTCAGCATTAAAAGGCCAGCAAAACATTACCCAGGCTGCATGGTGACATCCAGGGTAGGTTTTGCCACATTGCTTCCACAATGCCAACAAACTCCTGGGATCTGGAGGAGTTGCATGAATTTCTTAAAGAGATCTAGACCTCACACAGGTGGGCCTTGGTTGTAGTCCCTTGGTGTGGGTCATCTTTTGGTAGCTGGCAGGAAATGTTGCAGCAGAGACTTTGATGGTCTTTTTATTGGTAAATATAGAGCAAATCTGCTGGAGTTAACCTTGTGTATTGCTGTGAGCTGTGCTCAGAGGGACCTCCAAGAGTTGACTTCTGTATAATTTAAACAGAGGAGTGATAGGGCTTTTAGTCTGGTATGAATTATGGTTATTTTACTGTACTGTAAGAGTACATGTTACTCTGCTAAGGGCAAATTACTCCAGACTTCTGCTTGAGCACCAGCATCGTGCTCCTGCTGAACAAGACACGGACACGAAACAGCTTCTGCCATTAAGAGCCCGGAGTCAGAAATAACAAGATCTTTCCCCCAAACAGCCAGGGAAACCACTGGTGAGGCACTTATTCATGTTTCTCTCGCTGTCAGTGGGAACAAAATGCAGCCTGGTGCCCTGTGAGCAGCTGGTATTTAACTGCAGGAGCCACGCTGGGGGCAGGCTGGGCTTAGCCGGCGGATAATGCGGGCTCTGTGAGGAACAGCTCTGCTCCCAGGGGTGACAGCGACGACTGGCTCGTTTGACCTTGACTTCTCCTGTGAGTTGATGTGTGGTATAGCTTGAGAATGTCCATCATTTTGGCTCTTGCCCACGCACACAGATCTGTTGGCTTGTGCAGGGCCTGGCTGGTGTCGGGCTGGGCCTTCAGTGAGCCCCCCTCGTGGGGTCTGTGCCTTACCTTACTGCAGGTGTGCCTTAGTGCTGATAATCTTTTACCAGTTCCTTACCAGTTCCTTCCTTTTACCACTGGTCCTCTCCTGTTCCAGAATCAGTGGTTGAGCAGTACCTGTGACTTCTACCATATGGGCAGAACTGGTGTGTGCTGGAAATCCCTGCTAAAGCTGCTGCTTTAGCTCCTTCTGAAATGACAGCCAAGACACTGCAAGCAGATTGCTGGGAAGGTGTTCCTATAGCCTCAGTCTGAGATTTTTTTGTTAGTTTTTGGTTTTTTTCTTTAATTTCACATATTTTCTGTCTGGGTTAAGAACTGACATAAGCTGGGCATGTGGTGGGAGAGGTTTTTCTCTCACGCCTCCCTTCTCTCCCGGGGTGCTGCCTTGAGACTGTCACTCCACCCCAGCTGCTCACTGTGGAGGCTGCAGCCCCCATCCCTCCCTCTGCACAGTCGCTGCAGGGCGTGCAGCCTGAGCTGAGCTGGTGATGTAATTTCCCATCTGCTTTTTGAATTTCTGCCTTGTTAAAAACCATGGTGGAGAGCGGGGAGAGAAGACCCTTTGCAAACAGCAGTCTCAGGGAATGGTCTTTCTCCTTTACTCTCCTGCTCAAGAGTGGCAGGATTTTAATGGTGCCCATTTTAATTTGCACTCTGCAGTCTCTACCCCTGAGCCAGGTTTGTATTTCACCATCCCAACTGTTTTTCACTTCACCTAAAAACCAAGATGACAAAGTAGAAAGCAGAGACATGCCCACCTGCCCTGGACTAGTTGTAACAAGCAAGGCAGGGCAGCTGCCATGACGATGGGATGCATTAGCCTCATAAAGAGCTGAGATAAAAGAGCTCTTCATTATTCCCTTGCAGATTGAGTTAAGGCTCTCGACAGCATTCAGGCTCACTGCCTTGAGTTACAGTAATTTAATTTCACACAAGTGTCTAATGTGATGCCCTTTTCACCAACACTTCCGAGCTGTGGTGTCATTCCAACGTCTGAGCCCAGGAGCTCACAGCCAGCAGTCCTGATCTGCAGATCTGGATGTTCAGTGCAGCACTGGTTTTGTAGGCGACTCCACATGAAGGGTTGATCTGAATTCAGCAGTGTCTGCTGCATTATGCCAGCACTGCCAAGCCTGCCTTCTTGGCCTTTGTCCTACTCAGTTGATGAGCTCTCAAAATGTGGTGTTTTCCCTCGAGCTCTTGTCCTCTACACTTCTCCAAGGAGTCTTGATCCTTAGTTCACTTTTGCTGCTAGAAAATATCTTTCATAAGCTTTCTTTAGATCTTATCCTCTAAAGCTGCTGTATGATACCAAGCATTTTCCAGGACACAGGTATTAATAGGAGCACCTTAGTCAACTGAATCGCTGATATTTGAAAATAGTATTATAGTAATTCTGTATTTTCTACTCCAAGACTCCTTCATTATGATTCCAAATAAGAGAATATTGCCAGAACACACTTCATTTCACTGGTAGGACTTAGGATGAAATTCATGTTCATGAACGAATTTGACCCTGGCTTTAACCTGAGTGCCAACACCAGCAGGTGGGTGGCACAGACACACCCCCTACACGTGTGCCTGCAGTTTGAAACCTCTGTCACACCTCTGCAAGAAGGAGAGCTCTGGACCAGCAAGGGTGGTGACACATCTGTGAAGTGGTGGGGGGAAGGCAGGAGGGTGTCTGGGGGAGGAAGGGGAGCCAGGCTCAGGTGGCAGGGGGAGTTAAAGGTCAGAATTCCAGCAGCCTTGGCAGAGCTGGCTGTGCTGCAGGACACGAGCAGGTTGTCCACTGGCAGGACTGTGTGGGGTCACAGGATGGGGTCAGCAGGTGTTACCGGCCAGGATTGAAATCCATCAGCTCCCATTTCCTCTGCTCCCATTGCCTCTACCTTTTTTTTGGTTTGTTTTTTTTTTTTTCTTTATTCTGTTTTATGGAGGAGGACTGTGGCTCTTTGGGAAGGGGCAGCTGTGTTAGCCCCAGTTCTAAATGGAGTTTAAAATATTAGAGGAAATCTGAAAAAAGGTGCAGCAGACAGGTGCAAAGTGACTCCTTCCTGCTGACACATTTGCAGGGCTGCATCCTGTCTGAAAGGCTGGCCCGGGGGTCTGTGTTGGCAGGTGAACAGAGGACTTGGCCTTGCAGCCAGTGTGGGAACCAGCTTCACTATGTGCAAATACTGCATTGTGCTCGTTGTATTTATAGCTTTCACTGAAGTCATCCATTCGTTTCAGCTGCACAACTGAAATGCCAGCAGAAGCTGAATAATTGCCACCAAAACTGACCAGATTTACAAAAAGTGACAACTGCTTGTTTATCAGGAGGAAGGGAGGAATGATCACAGTGTCTTGTGCATGACAGTGTGTTTACAGAAAGGCCTTGGTTAGTCCTTTCCATGACACTTAAATACGTCTGTTTCTCTTGTTCTCAGGTATATGGAAGAGAGTTCTTCCTTTATTTTACATTTACTCAGGACACTTCAGATCCTTAATAACTAGAGGGGAGGTTGTAGTAGTCTTTATATGACACTGGATATTACTCCCCCCTCCAACACTAAAATATTGCAGCAGATATATCCTCTGTCAGAGCTGCACAGGCTGACCTGTGTGGGATTTTTCCATAGATTTTGGAAGGATATTGTACCAGTGGAAAGTTCCTCTAAGTGAGATTTGATCCCATTTAATATTTCTACTGAACCACATTCTCACAAAAGCTTTTGAATCGGTTGGATTTGAGAACTGGAGATGATAAGTTGCTTTAAAAAGGGATGGGAGCAAAGTGTGTTGGATTTGAGCTAAGGGGGTAGAAAGGCCCAGCCAGAGGCACTTTTGGAAGGTAAGTGTCTTGTACCAGCATTGGCAGTGGCATTTAAATAGCTGAAGGAGAGATACACCCAGTCTCACAGGTAGGTGTTCTCTGATAACAGTTTTATCAGCTTTCCGGAATGGAGAGACACTGTAGCCTCCTTGTTCTAGAAATCTTGCTGACTACAGAAATGAGACTTATTATAGGCACAGGAATTATTTTAGATTTATTGTCGAGGTTGCATCTTCGTGCAAGATGATTTGTGCTTCCTAAAAAGCAGACTGACGTTATTCTGGGGTTTTTTTGGTGACTTTGGACATTAACTCCTGAGGAACGTTCTCAAAAGTTGCCATAGGTTACATGAGGATTTGGGCTGAGCTGCGGTAAATCAGACTTCTCAAGTTGCTGTTTGGAGACCTCACTTGTTCCTTAAAGCATTATCGGATGTGTTTGTGGCCCGGGATGATGTTTGTTGTGCACTGGCTCGTGGGGTGGGATGGGATGGGATGGGATGGGATGGGATGTTTCCTGCAAGGTGGGTGCAGCTGTGTGAGCTGCCAGCCTGCAGCAAAGCCCAGCTGACAGTGGCACGACCCTACTCTTATTTTATTCTGAGAATGAGCACCCTGCCTGCTGGTTGCAGCTGGAGCTGGCAAGCCAGGAGCAGAGAGTGTGACCTTCCTTTGCATTGCAGTGATGGCCTACATGCAGTTTGTGGAGGACTACTCAGAGCCACAGCCGTCCATGTTCTACCAGACCCCTCAGAACGAGCACATCTACCAGAAGAAGAACAAGTGGTTCAGGGAAGTCTGTGGGATGAATGACTCCTTTATCAGCTTAGACCCCACTCAAGACCTGGCACCTCCTCCTGCTCTCCCACCGAAACAGCGGCAGCTGGTGAGTGACACCCGTGGTGCCCCGGGCAGGGACACCAGATTCCCGGGAACAGCTCCGTTCTCCCTGCTCCTGGTTCCTGCAGGCTGCGGTGGTGGGAGGGTGTCTCACTGGTGTTACCATGTCGCGCCCCTTGTCAGCTTGTTAACGTGTTTTTAGGCATTTTGCACCGTGTACTTTTTGCCCCTTTCTAACCCCGCGTTCAGGCCGCTCCCCGTGAGCTTTGAAAGTCCTAAAATGCCCTAAAAATGAAATGTTAGTCTTCCACATGGCAGGGCTGAATCCGTGCCAGACTGCAGGCTTGTGGAACGACAACTGCTTTGAAGATTTTGACACGCTGAGCAGCGTGATTTTCGAGAGATTGCTGCACTGTTGTTCCCAGTGCTGTTTTGAAACTGTTGTCAAAGATGCCACTAATAATAACTATTTAAACCTAAGAACTGCTTTTATGGCTCGTCTTTGCCAGAGCCACAGACCTCTAGTGTAGCCATTACTCAACTCCTGGATGTTTTCTCCTCATTAGTCCCCTTGTGTGGTTCAGGATTTTACCTGTTTCTCAGTGTCCTCCTGGCCCCCCACACTGGCAGCACAGAAAGGCACATCTGCAAGTGTGTGGGTGGTGGGTTTAACAGCACAAAAAGTGCCATTTTCCACGTGGGGGATGAAATCCTGGCCTCAGTGATGGCAGCAGCAGTTTTGTTTCCGACCTCAGTGGAGCTGGGATTTTGTCCCATTTCTTTTTAAGGGTTTTCCTTTTCTCTCTCTCTTTTTTTTTTTTAACAACTCCAACCTATTTTGTTCATATTAATGATCTGATTTGCTCTATTTAACAAAAATAAATTCTTTTGTGCTGATGTAGCTCACTTAAATTGTCCATGGCATTAACGAAATGGGAGGAAAGGTGGGAACAGAGCCATAGTTTTACCATCATGAGGGTGACTGTTGCAATATTTCTTCATGTTATCTGTGCTAAAGTTTGGCTGTCCTGGGGTGTTACTTTTTAATTAAATGAGAAAAGAAACCCGAGAACTCTAATTTTGGGATTTGCATAACTTCATTCCTGTGATACAGGTAGGAGTCTTAAAATGATAAAGTGACATTTCTGGCTAAGCTGAACTGAGTATTGTGTATTATTCTTTGTGGGGACGAGACCTTAAACACTGGTGTCCCAACTGCTTTGCAGGGACACTAAAGAGTCTACAGGACTCCTGTCTGGAGGATCAGGCAGTTCTCCAGAGTCTGTGGTCCCCGTCAGTGTGACTCTTGCACTGTCACTTGTACTCCAGTGATCATTTCCAGCAGTGACTTGGGTTGCACAGTCACAAGTGAGGGTGTGTAAAGCACAGATTGACTGCAGCCATTGTGCAGAAGGGAAATCCTGCTCCTGTTCTGAATTTGTCAGCTGAAGCAAAGCATTTCTTTGCTGCCCTTTAATCATTATCTGGGCGGCCAAGATGTCACTGCTTTGCCTGCTGGCCATTCTTGTCTTTTTGCAAGCTGATACCATCAAGGTGTTGCTTGCAGTTCCCCTGAAGCAAAGGTTTCTTCAAGTGCAGCCTCCCACCCTTCATCTCTCTGTTGGGAAAGAGGTGCAAGCAGATGATGGCTTTTTCAACAACCACTGTAAAATCCACCAGACTCTTGTTCCTCTGCTCCTGCTACCCTGAGTTTCTGAAAGAGCAGATCAAATGGGCATCAGCTGCTCCAGCAGTAGCAAGTTTTGCTGGATGGACTCCTCTGTAAAATGGTAATGAGGAAGTCCTTTCTTGTGAGCTTCAGATCTTGTTTGTGAAATGTACTTTATATTCAACAAGTCAGAGCTGAGATAACCTGGATATACCGTAGCCTCCCTCAGACTCCTTGCTGTAGTGGAATTCAGAAGAAATTCCTTAATAGGATTTGTTACTTACAGTGTAATATCTGCCTCTTGTGCAAATGATATACAATTTTGGATTGAACTGAGAAATGGCAGGGCTTTGCTGTTACCCAGTATCCCAGCAGTACCAGTGAGGGCCCAGAGCTCACACTGAGGAGGCCAAGTTCCCAGTCTGCAGGTTGCCACAAAAAATAGCAGTCTGCAAGAATCAGCTGTTTAGCAGCCAGAAGCAAGAGCCAGTTCCTCCTTTGGGCATCTGCCCCCCATGCCAGGGGGAGAAAAGGGCAGTGAGGAACAACCTCTCCCCCCAGCAGATGTCCACGGGTGAGCTGGAAGGGGGAGGAGGGAGTTTATTTTTAAGGGATTTGTGAAACAAAGAAGGTTTGAACTGTGATTTCTGCCGTGCCTCTTGAGCTCAAGAAAGGCATATTGGCGTGTCTGGCTCTGATGAACTGTATGAATAGCTGTTTGTTTAGCCAGCCATTATATGCATTGTTTTACAGTTAGAGTTTCTTACCCTTTATTCATCGCCTTTTCTGTGCTCTCTTTCTCTGTGTCTTGTGTCTCTTGCTTTTTCTCCCCCCTCCTCAGCAGGCCTCCTATGCTGCCTCTTCTTTCTCTTCTGTCTCCTACTGTGTCCAGCAAACTAAAGTGCCCTTCACCCCCGAGGACTCCGGTGCCACTCAGGGCCTCACTATGTCAGTCTCTAACTCCTTTCTCAGCCGGCACAGCTCCTTTCCTGTGCACTCGGTGAGTTCCCTCCGCACTGTGACACGTGTGTGTGTTTTCTTATTGCTGATACACTTGTGTGCAAACTCTGGGCTTACCCTCCCACGTGAAGGTGAAGGTTCTTTTGGGGGCTTTTGAACTCGTGTGTTAATAACCAGCCAGGTGGGAAAAACGGTGTGTGGGTCTCGCTAAATGAAGCCCAGGGGAGGTGTGGCTTTCCTTACTTTGTATGTGTGGCCATGTGGACATTTGTGGTGGGGGACTGAGGAAGGAGAGCTGACCCTGTGCCCAGACGCACTCCTGTGACCTACATGCTCCCCAGGCTGCACTTTGGAGCTGCAAAGTCTTTTTGTTCCTTTGCATAATTCCAGTGATGTGGATGAGTCGATTAAAGGCTGCCATGTGAGCCTGGCCTTTGGAGAAATAACAAGATACCATCCCCAAAATACAAGGATTTAGTCAAACATATGGAACAGTGGCTGCAGCTCCTAAATTTTTTTTTTTTTAATTAGTTTTTTTTTCAGAAAATGGCCTCTGCCAGATTTTTCATCTATATTTGTCCATTTGCTTCCTTCCACGTCTCTGTGGTCCCAAACAAGCTCAGTTTGCTTGTATGATTAGGTGATGGATGAGCAGGATTTTCTCTCCTACAGCACTTGTGAGCAGCCTGAAGAAAGATCAGCAAGAAGAACTGGGAATGATTTAAATAAAAATAAGAATAGTATTACAGCACTGCTTAAATCTGCGTTCAGCTGCTTAAATTAAGTGGTAGTAATAACAAAGTGTTAATATAAGGAAATTAAACCAAACCATGGGATTCCTCCAGTTCATCAGTGTGGGGCTCATTTGCATGTAAAACTATGTGGTTATGCTCTGATTGCCATGTGATGACAACTGAGAATAGACTATTTTTTAACAGTGACCTGGATGTTTAGTAAATTAGACTTCTTCTGGAGAAGAAATTAACAGACAAGACTTGAGAAAATTCAGAGGTGTTCAATTAGTTTAATACTGAATGTTTGAAAACAGTATCCTCCCACTGTGCCACTGTTATCTTCCCATTTCAACACTTACTCATTCTTTAAAAATTAGTGATAATCGCTGGTCCAAAGAAGAAGAAAGTATTCAAGTGCTTTACAAGTAGTGCTACTTCACAAGCCATGAATTAAAGCTTTTGGCTTTCACTTGTAGAGAGAGCAGTATCATAGCTTTGCTGCACAGATGAAAAGGCTGAGGGGTGGAAAGGTTAGTGCTTGCATACGTTTGTGATAAACAGTTTTAAAATTTGAAGTGAAAGTCCTGAATTTTGCAGCTCTCTTATTTGATAGTGGTCCTTGCAAGCAAAACGTGGAACTGTAAGACTGGGTAAAAGCACTTGACTATTTTTGTTTTAATTGAGAGGCTATAAATATGATTCTATAATGTTCTAAAAATATGTGGGCACTTTTTAAAAAAGCGTTCTTTTTGGATTAAATGATTACTACCTTCTAAATTTTTCTGACCTGTTCTCACCTTCCTTTGGACTGCATTATTGTGATGTATTATTTTATGAAATGTTAAAACTTCATTAAAAAACCCTTGCTCGTTTTTGCAAGGATTTGGTGAGGGGAAAATGAATGGCTGGAGCATGAGGAACAATGAGAACAATGAGACAGTGCACTGTCAAATGCACAAAGGAAATAAGCTGAATTAAAAATGGTGATTTTTCCATTAGTCCCTTTAAATTAGGATAATCTCATAGTTGCTCATGTCTCTAGCTGGTCTATTTTTTCCACAGGCAAAATGAGATTTTCACTATGACAGTGTCTCTTTGAGCTGCAAAATACCAATGTCCTTACATGCATCATAGCTGACCCATGTAATACCATAACCATGTCTTATCCCATTTCCCCCATCCCTAATGAGACAGAGATGTGAAACAGCTGTGAAGGTTTGGATCCTTCCCAGGGTGACACCCTCCATGAGCACTGAGAAGGACCAGGGCCCCTCTTTCAACCTTCTCCCAGCATTGACTGGAAGGACTGTGTGGTTTCACTCAAGGGATGCCACGAGCTGCACCAGTAACACTTTAAACACGTTGTGCTGCTCCCCATAGTTTCATGTCTCCATTTTTCTTCTCTCCCTAAAAAAAAGCCACTCAAGTGAGCGCTGGAATGAACAACAAACCTGGTAAAAATAAGCATTACCTTCCCTCCAGCCCCAGCCAGGGACTCAATGCTAGGGAGAGCACACCTCCCAGACACAGCCAGCTGAGGAGTTGGCCTCTTGTGTGCCCAGATATCAGTGGTGACTATCAGATCTTTTGAAATTATAGATCTCCTACATATGAATCGTTATCCTTTCTGTACAGGAAGCAAAAACCTCCTTGGATCAATACCAGGAAGTTCAAGCCGATATGGTTGTCCATTGACCCAGGACAAGCAATGCCCTGCAGCTTTGCCAAGCGTAGCCAATTTTTACAAAGTGCCCTGTGCTTTTTTCCTTCCCCGGAGACTGGCCTGGGATGGACAGCAGGAGTCAATCCCAGAGGGAAGAACTGGCCCTGTACCCATCTGTTCATGTGCCGGCAGCACGAAAGCCGAGCCTGCACCACGTTCTGCATGTTATCCTGTTAGCTTTGTGCTCAGGTGAAGGATTAGTGCCTTACTACTGATTTACAGGGCTTAAAAAGACTGTTTTCAGACAGTTTTGTTTTGAAGCAAAAAAAAAAAAAAAAAGAGGTGCAGTTGTTCAGAGCATCTTTTAATTTTTAATGCATGAATTTCTCTTCTAGAGCCCCGACTCCTTTCCCTCCCATCAGCACTGCAGAGGCTGCTGCAGCCCAGCTGCCACCCCTGCCCTGAGAGCCCACTAATCGTGCTTTTCCCTCCTTTGCAGGAAATTGTGTCAGAGGTAATAGCTTTTACTGGATAGAGGCAGATCTTGAGCAACTGGATCAAACCTCATAGGTTTGGCAAGTTGAGCTGTTTTTTAACCGAGTCTGATTCGTGTCTGGCCTCTGTGCCAGCAAGGGCTGTGTTGGTACTGTGGGCTGATGTCTTAAGGAACTGCAGCATCCTATTCCCCATGCCATGCACAGCTAAGCTGTTAAATCCCACACTGGGGGGCAAGTGGATGGTACTGTCAAGGATCGTTCTAGGGATTCCCATCCCTTCTGAAAGCACTGAACAGTGGGAAGGGAGGAGTGCAGCAACACCCTCCTTGGTGACTCTTGGCACTGGTCTTTTTCTAGCTGATCACCTCTTTCCCTTCTTCTTGTGAACACAGAGCTACTGTCCCTTGGTTTAGCAACTCCTTGTGATGTTTGACTGGAAATGGGTGGGCAGGTATCCGAGTGGCAGGAATCAGACCTTGGAATCTTGATACTTCCTGGCAGCTGGAGAGCTCTGCACTGATAGAGGAAATCATCCGGCGACAAGCTCTATTGCTGCCTATCCACACATTTTCCACCAAAGGCTGCAGAAAGTCTTGTGGAAGCTTTTCCTCACTGAAACAAGGAACAGTTGTATCTCAGAGACATGTACGTGCCATTAGTGGAAATTTGGCTGCATCCTCCACTGGGGAAGAAATAACTCTCCTTTCTCAAAATGTTTTTTCTTATGTTTTCTTTTTAATTAAGAAACATTTCCAGTAATTTTCCAGAAACCAGTTGGCTGTCAGATTCCAGCAGAAGGCGCAAGTGATTTCCTTATGAAAGCTCCAGTTCAGCGCTTCTGTTCTCACTTGTTCCCACCATTCTTGAACAAATTGAGCAAGCTCACAGAAAATTCACAGCAACTGTTTTTCTTTCTTGTGTGTGTGCTAACGTATGTTCAGGAAAAGGGGGGGTCAGATAAGTGGTTAAAGGCGTGCACAATGCAGACATGTGCTTCCCATGTTTTCCTCGCCTTGCTCCCGTTCCTGTAGCACAATTCCAGTCTGCAGCACACCCCAGGCTCTGGCCCTCAGCAGAGACTGAACTGTTTTCATTCATATGGTGGAAGCCTCAATCAAACCAGGGACTGGGAAATCGTAGTGTGTTTGTTCATTTCTGTCCTTAGGTTTTGGCTCCTTAACTTGGAGCAGAGGGAAGGGGGAAAGAAAAGATTTGCATCCATTTAACCAGCTGCTGAATCCTAGGTATTGTTTTGCCTTTCCTGTTTAGCATTCCTTCTGTGTTTGTGTTCATTTCCACTGCCCACGGCAGGCCTGGACACTGGTATTAATAGTGCTGGTATTAATAGTGCCTGCTGGCATCACTGAATCCTGCTTCTGAAAACCACTTCCTCTGGTGGTTTGTACATTTTCCTCGTAGTTGGAGCACTACAGGTCTCTGTGTAGGTCTATCTAAACAGTCCCATGTTGACTTCATAGGCCACACACCCCATGGTTTTTGTGTGACTGGCTTTTTAGGAGTCTTGTCTCTGTCTCCAGGCTCTACCTTTTCAAGGTCTGCTTCCTAAACATGGTGATATTGTCTACAAGGTAAAGAAGAGTTGACACTGTTGGTGCAATCAGGTTGAATTCTTCTGATAGTTTCAAAGGAGAGATGCATGACAGCATGGTTAATAAATCTTACAAATGTTTTCTTCCCCCACTGCCCCCTTATTTGTTTTGTTGCAAAGATGTACAGGAATCCCTCCCCCTCAAGGAGAAGTTTGGATTTTGTGTTTTCTTGTGCAGAAGCCAGGAGACACAGCAAACCCCATCCATCCCTCTGCTGGGCAAACCATTGCTTTAAACCAGGGAGGTCAGTTGTGCAGCTGGGTCAGAGGCTTTGCTGAGAAACATTCCAGCCCGAGGAGTTGCTGCCTTTCCTGTGGCAGTGCTTGAAACCATTCTGTTGGCAGCTTGTGTTTCCAGCCATTCATTGCAGGAGCATTTCCTTCCTCATTAGCAAAAGTACCTGGAAGCCCAGCATTGTGTCATGAGATAGGAAGTCTTTTCCAATAGTTGTCTGTGCAATTATATTCTTAGGGTGTAACGACTTTGTGCAACACCCAGTATTTTGTGAACATAGTTCTGTACTGTTAGAATTTGGGCATCCAGTTCTGGCATGTTGCCATGTCATTCTCTTAATAGCATTAGCAGAGGAGATCTAAAAGATTGATCTTTTCCTCTGATAGCTTCATGTTTTGGAAGTCTGAAGCTCTACCTGATCTGGGAGTGTCTGGCAGGATGGCAGATTAATTTGGCAGAAATCCATAGGGTAACTGAGAAGGCTGTGCTTAAAAGGTAAAGACTGTGTCTGCTGATACTGCAGATGCTCTGTCAGCCATATAATTGAATTCAGCTTTGGATTTAGGATGGAGACTGTTGTAACTTGCAGCCAGTGACTCCCTGCATATATATCCCTGTCTCCCTGTTAGCTGTGGTCAGCCATGCCTAGTGAGCGTGGAGAAGCATCACTCTTGAAATAAGTTTCCTATTAGAGTGCTTATCTCCTGCCATCTAATCCAAATAAACAGCCAGAATGTCGTTGACCTTTGGGACATCCTGTAACGGCTGCTAATGATGGAAAGCTGTTCTAAAATATTCACTGTTGCAAAAAAAAATCAAAGGCAGCAAATTGAAAAGGTTGAAAGATGCCGTCTCTGGGAGACCTCTGTGTGTCACGGTGTGTGGTAAATGTTCAGGGCCGGGCACGTTTGCTTCCTGCTGTTCCCAGGAGACAAGACTGCTCCCAGCTCAAAGCACGCTTTGTGGAAGTACTTCCTAAATGGCAGGTCTTTTTAAAAGCCACTTTACTGGTGAGAGCAGAGAGATCTCTCTCTCTTCTCCCTCTCTTGGCTGTTTGCTGTCATAGGTCGGGATCATCAGGTCCTGTGGTGGGAGCTGGCAGCGTGGCCAGAGTTTGGACAGAGGGAAGCATCCTTTCCCAAAGATTCCCGTTGCACCCTTTTTTCTAGCTTTCCCAGAGATTATTTTGAAATACTTCACTTAAAGCAAAGCCATGGAGTAGGAGGTTGTGTCTGTACAGCCATAACCGAGGCCTGACTGATCGACCCTGCAGGAAACCTCTAAGAAGCAGATTAAAAGAAGCACTGATTTGTTTCCAAGACAAACTGTTGCCTCTTATGGGGAGGACTAGAGGATTACTTGTTTCCTTGTGACAGTTGTGCTGAATGGACTGTCCCCTCCCCAAAAGAGTATGTCTTTCAGAGGATGGCAGGGCTTCCAAGAGATGTGCAACACCCAAATCCCATGGAAGCCATTGCTGCAATTCCTGCTGCAGCTGCTGGCTGGGCTGGGTCAGACTGGGGAGCAGAGGAATGGGTGCCATATGGACATCATCTTCACTGCAGGGTGGTTTTTTTTCCCCCCTTTAAAAGTATGCTTCAGTCTTGGCTCTTGTCCCAGCACGGCTGCATAACTGGAATTCCAGAGCTGCTTGCAGGCTCCAGAGGAAGGAGGGGGCTCCCTGGCTCCCTCTCTACAAGATGCAACTTTACTACAAAACTGGAAGTCGAGAGCAGTCTGACTAATTAATGCCAGTGATCCAAAGGCTTCTCTGCGCTGTTCCCTTTGTTAACAGCATGCTGAGAGCCTGTCTGCATCCTTAAATGTTCACGGATCACATAATGAAGATTAATGCATTTTCCTGGGTACCTGAGCCTTAAACCGGGATTTTCAACATATCTCATGCCAAGATGTTGTTCTGAAAGGTGTATTGATGAGGCTGAGGAGAGATGAATTATATAGTCATTGTCAATACTAACATATCTGCATTTAAACTTGTAAAATTTATGCGATGTTGTGTTATATTTAGATCTGAATTGCCTTTGATTGGGATTAATTTCTCTGAAACTCCCCAAAGCAGAAGCTGTGCAAATGTTAAGCAGTAACTCATCTCCTTGAGCTGCTGGCCCAGGCTGCAGGGCACCAGAGTCTGCCCTGAGCTAACCCTGCCAGCACCTCACGCAGGGCTCTGCCTGTCCCAGAGTGACTTGGCTGAGGACACTCATTTCCTTTCACTCTTGCCCTGCGTGAGCTCCACTGCTGCTTTGAAAAAGCCTGGCTTTTCCTTTGGGTTGGGCAGGTCAGGGACAAAACCCTTTGGAACTCCTCTGTGGTAGGTGTCCATCAACTACAAAGTGAGGGACAGCGTGTGCCGCCTGTCCCATGTGGGTGCAGGAAGCCCAGCCCTGGGGGAGCTGGCACACAGCTTCTGTTGGAGATAATTATTTCCTTTACAGGAGCAGAGGGTCTTGTTACCAGGACTGCAGTTTTTTGAGTGCCTTCTTGAGCCATTGGAGCAGTGGTTTGGGGTCTAGGCTGGGACTTGGGGTGATAGTTGGCCTATCAGCACCGGTGAGATCATGGAATACCAGGCAGGCATAATGAATCTGCTGAGCCAAGGTGATGTCATGAGCCTGGCGTCTTACGAGGGATTTAGTGGTTTGTGCCATGCAAGTGAAAATGAATAAATGTAGAGCATTTATCCAGGCAGAAAGTAAATACAGAGATTAGACTTGTCATTGTTACTGAGGCAGCTCCAAAAGCTGACAGTGTCCCTGGAGCCAGCGCTGCTCATCCGGAAAGAAATGGGCAGGAAGAGAGAGGAGCCTGTCCTAAAGCCAGTCTCCTTTTAGCCACAGGCATGTGGTGGGGATTTGCATTTTAATTATTTTTCAGTAGTCTTTTAAGCTCTCTTTCCAAAGCATCCCACTCCCCTCCTCTGTATTATGGCCTGCAATTTGTTTTGGGCCCTGAGAATACACCCAGAGCACTGTTGGACTCCAGGCACAGCGGAGGGCAGCCACTCAAGGATTAAGGTGGTTGAAGGTAAAGTCTAACCATTGACCTTTACATTTCCTTTCCTTTGTAGTGGAAAAGCTTTTTCCAACCAGGCTTCTGTCCCGAGGCTGTTCTCAGTTTAGTTTTTTAAGCTCACATCTTTCCTAGGTAGAAACAAAAACTCAGCCACTGCTGAGCTGGATGCTGCTGTGGCTCAGGTGATGGACTGTGCTTTGCTTAACCAGCTCAGCTCTCCTGAGAAAATGTAGCATGAATTCTCTGATTCCTGCCTTGTTTCCCCTTCTTTTTACATCACAGCAGTGTTACTTTTCAGCCTGGTTTGAGCAAGTCGTGTCTGTGCTTCTTGAGAGCTCTGTACTGCACCATCCTTCTGCAGCAGATCACTCAACCAAGCAGCGCCACAGCTTTGTTTCAGTGTGGGTTTTTTTGGATGATCTGGCTCTTCCTTCAGTCCACTTGACTTTGACACAGATCTCACTAGTGGTTGAGCTCTGCAGGTTTTAAAATAAACTCCTCTCCATCAGATTTAGCATTATTGTCTGTCTTTTTTTTTTTTTTAATGGTTGTCAGCTTTGTTTTGGACTTACCCTGATGGCAAATCTTACTAGCACCAGATGTTAAAAGACAGAGGGTTGCTCTTGTTTTTCTTGGCACAATATATTCCCACTGCACCCTGTTTAATATTATCTGAACAGTAATCTGATGATTAGGAGAGATAGTGAAATAAAGCTTTACGCAGATGATCTCTTTTCATCTCTTCAGCTGAGTCTTCGAGGCACTGCATTAAAGGATCAGTTTGATAAGGAATTCATCGCTCCTGAGGGCAATTATCATTTTTGCTCCCTGTTTTTCTCGAATGGGAAGGAGTAGCAGCATAATCTCCCTGTATCCTTCAGTGTAACTTTGAAGGCAGTATCCAGCTGCTCCTCCCTGGGAGCTGTGTGTTCTGGAACAGACTTGACACAGTAGCTGCTAAATTACAGGGCTGGAGCAAACAGCGTCTTAAATTTGGATCCTGCGGAAAATCCCAGAAAAGCAAGAAGCATTTGGAGTACTTTTCTCTATCTAGATACTTCCAGCATGCTCAGAGTCCTGGTTTCTGTATGCTTTTGCATCCTCTCCTCCACTCGGGTGATTTTCGGGGTCACTGCATTAGTACTGAGATACCCAGGCTTCTCCCTGCACAGGAAAGGCTGGATACTTGCAGGTCACACCTCGCTGCCCACTTTCCCTCTGAGTCGAGCAGCTCAGCTGCTGTTTGTGCCAGAACATGCCTCTCCTGAAAAAACTGGCTGATGTATCCCGGGTAGCAATTCCTGCTCTAGTGTGTGGATGGTAAAATAGTGCTGCCTGTGTTAGAAATGCCTTGTGCTGTCACTGCTACGCTGCTGCCGATCTAATTACTTTTTCTCTTGTCTGTCTCTCTTTCCTTTCCCCTTCTTCCTTGTTTTTGTGTTGTACGTCTCTGCATCCTGCAGTACAAATCTGTGTTTAGGTCCTACTCCCAGGACTTTGTGCCTCACAACCAAGTCTCCATACCTCCTTTCCTGTCTTCTACCTCCTCCTCCTGCTCCACCCCGCCTTTTCCGCCCGTCCATCCATCTCCGACCCCCGACCTGGCGGTGCCCGCAGCAGCCAGCCAGTCACCCAGCACTGTGGATGTGCCAAACTCCTCTTCTCAGGAGAGCAGCTTTAACGGGAATGCTCCTGTCTGCCTTCCTTCTGAAACCTCTTTCACTGATTCTCTCCAGACGCCTTCGGTGAGACCATCCAAAGAGATAATAATGCACCTTAACACAAGGCTGCCTTTATTTTATTTTTTTTTTTTTAAAGAAAATATCTCGTATTAATACATGCTAAGTGTGATCTAGTCTGGTTTCCAAGTGCATGTGTGAATTGCAGAGTAGATATTTCTTATAAAAATGGTAGCTAGAAAAAAATAAACGACCTCAGCAGGTTTGAGAAAACATTAACACATGAGTAGGAAACACAAAATGTCAAATGCTGGTGAAGGGGAGAGGAGAAGTTGCTGTAGCTTCCTGCAATTGTAATACAAAGCTGAGGGAGTGTTTTGTGAGGTTGATAGTTTCTGAAGGCTCCTTACAACAGCTTCCATCCTGCAGTTGGTGCCCTGCTCCCTCCTAAGTCTCTGGAGAGCCCCAGGAGCAATGGGTGCAGTCCAGCTCTGTCTCTCCTGTGCATAAACCTGTTATTCTCTCCAGGTTCCTGCTTTTCCCACTTCCCAGCAGCTCCAGCTGTGCCCTTGGTGGCAGGTATCACATGTTGGTGAAGTTAGGCTAATGCTGTTCCCTCACTGCTAGTTTGAGGTCCCAGGTCAGTTTGCAGATCACTGAGCAGGTTTGTCCATTACAGCTACTTTTTTAAACACCTAATTTTCAAGACAGTTCCTCTTTCCTCTCCTGTGAAGCAGAGAATTGATGGGATTAGAGCTGTCAGCACAGGGCCTGCTAGTGCTGCCTCTTCACCAGGTTTGGAAGAGGGTCACTGATGACAGAGTAAATGTGCAGGTTTTCACGCTTTGGACGTGACCTTGCTTTGCATCTTCCTCGCGTTGGGTCCTTGTTATCCCCCAGAAGCGCTCGGGTTTGGTTTATTCTGGTGTGATGGGTCTCGTAGAGTAGTTTGGGGGATGCCTTTGATGCCCTCAGGGCTTCAGGGCCGTTCTGCATTCAGTGACAGGACTGCAGTGGGGGTAGGACAGGCACTCGTGTGTCCAGCTCTGAACGCTCCGCTTCCGGCACCCTGCAATCCACGCGTGCCCATTGCACCTTGGCAGTCTCACACGGAGTCCACGGCTCTTCCAAAGCAGTGCCTGCAGCTCAGGGCCCTTGGGATAGCCCTCAAGAACCAGAAAATAATGACCCCTGGGATGGTACACCCTCAATGGCCAGTGTTGGAGACAGAGAATGGCTCCCTGTTATGTGACAGCGGCTGCCAAGGGCAGTTCTGCTCCCGGCCCGTGGGCACGTTCTCTCACTAACATTCAGTGCTGGTGGGCGACACCATCACGTATTTCCTTTCATCCTGTCTCCCTCAGAGTGAAAACGCCAGTGAGGAGGCTGGTGAGGGTGAATACGTCAATCTGTATTCCTCTGGCCAGAGCAACGGGGAACTCCCTCGCTCTGAAGGAGTAAGTAACCCGGAGAGGGCCGGACACCGGGAAGGGGCTGCCTGGTGCATGCTGAGTTCACACCGGGGCTGACGCGCTTGGCACCGGCCTCTTCTGCACACCCTGGAGCTCCCGTGTCCGTCCTGCTGCCCCGGCTCCCTTGCTGGCCATCCCTCTGCTTGCCCACTCCTGGCTGCAGGCTTGGGTGGAGAGCAGGCGATGCTTCCAGCGAGCCCTGGCAGGAGGCAGGGACGGCTCTTCCTGCCGCGCTCTTTCCTTTGCGCTTCGCTGTCTGTTTGGAGCTGCTTGCCTGAGGTTCCCTTCCAGAAAGCTGCACCCTCACCAGTGCCATCCTGGGGCCTTGTCTCTTCTTGGAACTGCTTTGCCTTCCCTATTTTAATACAGAAAGCCTTGTGCTCTAAAAATTTTTCTTCCTTCGCTGTTTGGATACGTAAGTTGTTGATTTAGCATTGTACTCACATGCTTTTTCTTCCCTTCTTCAAGCCTCATATCTTAGATATTTCCTAGAGGAGCCAGGGCGTTTTCCATTCCAGGGAGGTCCCGTCTTCCTGTTGGGTCATAGGAAACAGCAGCAGAGGTCCGTGGTGATCCTTTTGCCTGCCCTCATCTTGGAAGGCACATCTCCTCTACAGGATGTCTCCGAGACATTTATCCATGCTGGTGTCAAATATGCCAAGAGATAGTGCTCCCATCACTTCCCTTCAGGAGACACATCTGGCCAGGCCCATCCTCTTGGGCAACTGCGAGCGGGTTCTCAACTTTGAAGCAAAGGGCTTTACAGATATAGTCTGGAAAAATCCTTCAGACACCACGAAACCTAAGCTCACCAGAGGGTTTTCCATGCTGAGTGAATAGTGTGTAGGTGGTTTCAGTCCTGCCTGTTCACCGGGTTGGATTTCCAAGGTTCGCTCTGCATGATGTTAAATAATTCTGAACTCCCATTAATATTCCCATTTGCCGTTCATGGCTATTTGTCTCCTTAATAAACGGCCCACTTAAAATGCTCTATCTTTGCTCTGAGCTCTCTACCTGCTGTTCTGAGCCGCGGGTTCAGCTGGTTCTGCTTTTTTGCATTAGCCTCATTTCCACAGCCCTGAGTTGTGGAGTGGAAACGTTGCATCACTGCGAAACCTCTTCCGATGGGAGAGAAGGGAGGTAGGAACCAGTGAGCATCCACCCCCCAAGGCAGGGGGGCTGTGATCAGCAGGGGAACTGAAACTGGAGAGCTTAGAGCTGGCTCTGTCCGTTTGGATTAAAGCAGGAGGCAAGTGTACTTCAACAGTAAGGGCTGGAGGAAAAATAAAAGGTCACGAGAGGGTTAAAATCCAAGACAACAGCTGACTTGTGTTGTAACTTTCAGCATCATTTCACAATGTTAAAAGCAAACAGTACTAATTACACTAGTCTCCAGAGATGGTCCCAAATTTCCTGTCTGATTAACTTCTGTGTTTTCCTGGCATTTGGCATTAACTTGCATCAGTCTTTAACCGCTCTGTAGGAATTTACAGTAAAGGGCCATTTAGAGGCAGGCAGACTGTAAGTGCAAGGCTGGCTGGGCTCAAGGACCCCATGTAATAATGAAAAACTTCTTTCTCTTGGCAGGAATCTCCCTCTGTCAAAGACTCCAAAGACTCCGCTGTGAACAGCAGTGCCATGGGGAAGGAGGGCAAAGATGGTGCTGACAGGTGAGCCTGGCTCCCTTGGTGCTTCTGCTTCCAGCCTGAAGGGTACAGAGCCCTCCCAAAACCCCCTCTGCCAAACCATCCTTGCAGCTGCCTGTTCTGCCCTCAACCTCCTCTGCATTCTCTAAACTTTTAAGCCCACATTTTTGGACAGCCAGTGAGCGGTGGGATCCTGCTGGACAAGGAGGATCCTGGCTGGACTCAGGGAGCCCCTGGGGGTTAATGCAGCCCATGTTAGCCATCCTCAGTCCATCTCATTGGCAGTGCTGTCATTGACACTGGCTGCTCCTTCCTGCTTCCAGTAAAACATGTGAAAAGAGTCAGTATTGCTGTTTGGAATAGTCTTCCAGAGGGGAATTTCTTCCTAACCCTGCTAGTTAGACACTGGCTGAGGCCCCAAAGCAGGAGGCTTTATATCCCTTCTAATGCTCTTAGCTATCATTTGCCTATGTAAATGAAGAGGTGCAAGCTGTAACAGATGGGCTTCAGGAGGAGTGGAGTGAGTGCTTCCCTGCTGCTCGAGATTGCTCTGCAATTGCATTTCTAAAGCAAAAATAGAGAACAGCGATGATTTGTGTGTGACAGTCAACTTCCCTCCCCCATTTCCCTGCAGTTGGTTTGAGGGTTTTAATCCCTGTAGTGAAGGAGACAACACGAGAGTGCTCTGCAAAGCTCAAAGTACTGACTGGTGCATGGGATTTTGGCCTGTGCCTAGGGAAAGCTATGAAGAACATAAGTATATTATTTTGTTTTTAGGAACATAGACACAGAGAGTACATGTCCAGGCACAAGAAAGTAGGAATAGAGTTAGGGATGTACACCAGAAAAATAGTCAGAGCTTTCTACTCTGCCTTCCTGCAAAATGAGAGCCTGTCATCTCCCCTTGTCTCAGCACAGTGGGTCATGAACTGACTAAGATATGTATGTGTAGAGTAGGTTCAGTCTCTATACATTTGAGGAAGGGCTTAGATTTGTGTGCACTAAAAATTTGGTGGATTAAGGAGACATGGAAGTGTGTACTTATGCAGGGCATACTAAAATCCTGCCAGAAACGCAGACAGACAAGTGTTCAGGTCCTAAAGGTTCATCTTCCTCTGTTTCAAGAGATGCACAAAGCAACAGAATTAGAGCCAGACATTTGGGTTTGTTTGCAGAAGGTTTACCTCCAGAGTGTCTGTGTACTTACTGTCATTTAATGAAGGTTATTTCCCTCTTTTTTTCACAGGCAGCCACAGTCACCAGATAATTTGGAATCGTCACAGCTGGAGGAAGAGGTAGATGAGCTGTCCCTTATTGACCACAGCGAAATCATGGCTAGATTAACACTGAAGCAAGAGGTAAGTGCATTCAGGGTTTGCTTTGGTACTCTTTGGTTTACACTGTGTTGAAATCTGATTCTCTGTGTGCACAAGCAAGGCATCACCTCTTATTTGATATTAAAAACTAGGTTGCAGCAGAATTGGGATGTGGGTGCAGGCTGTTGTTATAAAGTGTGAGATGCTGGTACAGGCAGGGAGCATCAGCAACGAATGAGGTTTTAACAGAAGGCGAGACATCTCCCTAAAAACCAGCACATCTTGTACCTTTTTCCCAGTCTTGCCCCTTCCCACCTCTTCATCCTGTGACAGTCTGGAATGAATCACCTGAGAGCCTGAGCACAAGAAATCCAGGTGTGGCTTGATGGTGTTGGCCTTTGGGTCTGACGGCGGGTTCAGCAGGTGAACGAGCAGGACATTGTGTTGCTGATGTGGAAAAGCAGCCCAAGGAACTGTTTTGTCTTTTAGAACCAGCTTCGTGTCTGGCCTGGGGTGCACTCCCAGCCAGCTTTGCTCGCTGTGCTCTTGAACCACGCTGTCTTTGACATGCAGCTCGAGGGAACATGCAGGCTTTTGAAGCTTTCAGACTGTCAGGGGGCTGGTCTGAAAAACAGAGAGAATGTATCATTTACTGGCACTTAAGGTGTGTTCTTTGGTCAGCTGAGATGTGCAGGAGAGAGTGAAAAGCTATTACTCATTCTTTAAGTAGTGTTTCATATGAGTCTTGCCAGAGGGTCACCTGAAAAATTCACATCTTAGACACAGCTGCTCCATGGCTGTAATACATGTATTTTTCACTGGTTTGCATATTGAAATTACAATCCTCCTCCTCTGCTGGATTCTTTCCTTTAAAAAACATTTAAAAATCAGTGATTTCTGAGCATTTGGGACTAGTAGATGTGTGTCTTAATGTCTTCTTTCTTTTCTTTATGATCTGCATTTTTGAAACAGTACAGAACTGTCACTGCGAGCTGCTTCCTGCAGTGTGGGAACCGCTGGCTGAGTGATGGATCAGTTTTGCATATTTTGAGTTGTGAAATGCAGTAGCTAGAAGAGGGTTTTAGAGAGTGGAAAGGCAGGGGTCAAGCAATTAGCAGGGCTGTTTTCTGCTCCTGGTTATTGGATCGCTTCAGGTGACCTCTGGCCAAATAGTTCCAGATTAGGGAATTAACTTGCTAGGTTTTGATGTTCCAGCAACATGCGAGTTGAATGCGTGACCTCCCACCCCACAGCCACTGTGGTACGTGGCTGTGTGAACTTTGAGACAGTTCACACGGTGTTGCTGCTCTGTTAATGGTCTTCTGGGAGTGTTCAGGGCATTTGTGTTCATTCTTCTGTGGACAGAAGGTTCATCTTTCACTGAGCTTCACAGCCTGGCCTCAAGGAGTCAGAGATCCCGGGTAAGGATCAGCCCAGCTCCTCATCTGGGACACCAAATGCTTTATTCCAATTCCAGGATTAGCCCAGCACTGAAGACCATGTCCCAGCTTGTGCTGTGAGCAGTGCCAGGAACATTGTGAGCACTGCCAGTTGCTGCTGAGCTTGAACCCCAGCGATGTTAAACCAGGCCGAAGGGAACCTCGGGCCCTGCCTAACGTGGTTGTGTTCCCATTGCAGGGGGATGATGGGCCAGATGTTCGTGGTGGATCTGGAGACATCCTGTTGGTGCACGCAACAGAGACCGACAGGAAAGGTACGTGGATGCAGCAGGGCAGAGCTGAGGGGCACAGCCTGGCACGGCCTTTGGCTGCTGATCTTCTGGTCTTCTGCCTCTGCCTTCTGCTGTGGGGGCAGCTGGGCCGGGGGGAGGGTCTGCAGGGATCCCCTGCACAGCCTGGGGGGGTTGTGCTTATCTGTGGTAAATGGAGGTAAGCTGGATAAGCCCTGGTGGTTCCATTTAGCAGCAGGGATGGTATTAACTCCTCACAGCCCTTGCCCAGATCTGGAAGGCGAGGCACACCAGTGACAGTGCTCTGTTGGTGTCCCTGCACCTGCTGAGCTGGGCCACTGCCTTCTGGGAATGCAGGAGTGACCAGCCTGTTGTGCATGGATCCTGTGTTCAGTGGTGCTCCTTGACCTTTGAGTGTCAGGGCAGTGGGGATGCAGGAGTTGCTGGAGTGAGTGTTGCATGGAAGTAGGAAAAAAGGGATGTTGGTTTGGGTCTGATGCAGTACCCGTGGGCATTGGGCAGGCTGTTCGGGTGCTGGTCTGCTGACACCCCTCATTTTCAACTTACCTAATCCCACTTTTTACTACTTGCATCCTGGTAGCCACCCAGGCCAGTTCAGAGAGGGAATCCACAGTACAGGAAAGGAGATGCAGAGGAGGAAAGGGGATGTCATCAACCCTTGGCACTAGATTTGTTAAAACCCCACTTTATCTCTCCAAACCCAGTCACCACCCACACGAAGCTCTCCTATTCAAGACCTGTGGCAAAGACAGCCTTTAAAGTGTTTCCAGAGAGTGATTTGAACCTGCCAAACACATTTGTGCTGATGGCCTTAACCAGGATTGATCTCCTTATCTCCTGGGATGCAAAGCAAAACCCTAACCCGCTGAATCACTCAGCACTTGTATTTTAGAGGTTTGATAGTCAAAGGGGAAATATCTTTCCTGTACATTTTTAAACGACAGGGGTTTTACTGTAGCATAAGATGTTTGCAATTACTTACCAGCACAACTCAGCTACCAAGAAAATCCTTTCCCTGACAGACGTTTCTCAGTTTCTATTGGGCACCAAATCCAGGAAGAAAGGATCAAAGTTAGGAACATACTAGAGAGGAGGAGGCAATTGATTGTGCCAAGGGTAGATATGTATATTAAAGAAAATAGTCTAAATGCGATGGTGGAAATATCCCTTATAAAAATGCTGAAAGTGGAATAGAGAAACTCTGATTTACTCCTGCTGTTCTCTGGAACATCACATTGGAAGAACTTCCCTGCTGTTCCTGCTGAAAGGCAGCTGCTTGGTAAGGGGATGTGTGCTTAGACCTCCAGTTCATGAACAGGGGGCTCTGAGGGTGCTGCAAGCAGTGGGGTGAAAGCTGTGGAGAACCTTTCAGGACTGGGGAAAACTGGAGCAGGATTTTTACTGCCCAGGGGTGCAGCTGGGGATTGCTGGGTGGAGGGAACTCGGGTTCTCAGTCCCTGAGCTTGGCCTCACAGGCACTGCCAAGCCACGGAGCTGAATGGAGCAGAGAGGAATTCGTGCTATGCTAACCCACTGTTTGGGTGACTGAGAGGGTTAATGAATTAAGCTTACAATGAGAAGAATTCAGGGCTTGTAAATCAATCAGCCAAACGGCACAGAGGGGTAGAGTTAAGAGGCTTTCCTTTAAAGATGAATTTCTTGGCAGCTTCAAGTGCCAGAGCAGACCAGCTGTATTACCTCACGTTGCCTTTTGGGCAGATGGGAACCCAGAATAAATGTAACTCCACGCCCTGTTGCATGATGCTTCTTGTCCATTTGAGTTTTCTAAAAGAGCTAAATGGAATAAGGGATAACGAGAGACTTGTGGTCTTTAGGAATAAAATCCGTGGTCAGTTAAGTGCTCACAGCCACACACACTTGCTGTGAGTGCAGAATTACAGCTGGACGAGGCCTGGGGCTCACCCCTGACATGACCACCCAGCTCCTGGCTTTAGAGCTTATGTCTGTCTGATTGTCTGTAACCAAAAGGCAGCAGCAGTCTCTGATTTAAGAGCAGGAGGAAGCAGCATTGCCACGAGGTTCCTGCCAAGAGAAACACTGCAGGTAGAGAGGCACAGCTACCCCACTGTGCCCTGCCCCTTCCCACCCTCCACGGCAATGGATGGATGGATGTTACAGCACGTGGGTGTGGGGTGATCCCTGTCCTGGCTGGAACAAGCTCTGCATGCACAGCCAAGCCTGGGCAGGCCCAGCAGGAGCTTTTTCTCCAAGTCTGCCCACGGTGCTCCTGGCAGGGGCAGGGTGCCATCCCACTGCACATCCTGCTGCTGGTTAATACTGGGGTTAATGCTCCCATTGGACACTGCTGTCCACAGTGACCAGGCATTGCCCAGGAGTGTTCTACAGTCCTGACCTGAAATCTGCTTTCCCATTTGCAATCCCTGCTTTTTCAAATTCCATCCTTTGTGCCCGTGGCAAAGCCCAAAGCCTTTTGTGATTCTGGGCCCTGCAGCACCCCCATCCTGCTGATGAATTAACACAAACTGACTCGCCCCACGTCAGCATCTGTGTTGTGGCAGGGTCATGGCCATGGTAGTGTCAGTTTTTGCAGTGCAATTTACTCTTCCTTTGGCTGAAAATAATCTTATATTTGCACTGTCCTGGGACGGATTTCCTGGAATGCAGTAAGGACAGAGGATCTGCAGCACCAGAGCATCACCCTGAAACACGTGTGTTCCTCATCAGGAGGGCAGAGTGACCGTGTCTCTGCAGGGCTCTGTGCTGCCTGAGAGAGGCACACAACAGGCAGCCACCTCTCACCATCAGATCTTCTCTGTAAACTATCCCCAAGGTCTAAACCATGTTTTTTCTTGACCCATTACTGATAGTTCCTGTCTCACAAGCAGGTGTTTTTCACTGACCCCTTTGGTGGTGGAATAAACAAAGCCCTGAGCTCAAATGCTGCAAACAGGGAGCCAGGGCCGGGGCAGTGGGGACAGGGCAGTGTCACTGCTGCTCTTGTGTTACAGGGTCCATCTGCTGGTAAGGACCAACAGCACAGCAGTCCTGGAAAGTCCATTCATGCCAAAATGTGTCCATGTCTCTCTCCCTAGATCTGGTGCTGTACTGTGAAGCCTTTCTGACGACATACAGGACATTTATTACCCCTGAAGAGCTCATCAAGAAGCTGCAGTACAGATATCCTTTTGCATGAGTGGCAGTTCACTCCCACCAGGAATCAGAGCCGGGCAGTCATTGTGGAGGGAGCTGATGGCAAGTTGTTTGGTCAGAAGCCTGCTGACAGTGTGGTCAGTGATGTGCTGGCCCTGGAGGTGTCCCAGGCAGGAATTCCTTCACCTCCACATTCTGCAATGGGAATTGCAGCGGGGCAGGTCCAGGCAGGGTGGATAACGGACCAGAGAGTTGTCTCCTGAGGGTCCTGTCAGAGGAGAGGAGCAGTTGAGGTTTTCTGTACATCACTGGGTAATTATCATTTGTTTTGGACATCTTGTTTTCTAGATTGGGCATCAGGGCACCTTCTGCCTTCCAGAGGGGCTGTGGGGGTTGTGGGCAGGTGTAGTTTAATACTGGAGATGACTAAACCATCAAGGCCTTTTCTCTATTTTACTACAATAAACTCAGCATTGGAAATGCTGGGCTCTTGGCCCCCCAGTTCTGAACTGAGCTTGTAACTGATAACAAAGCAGGACCCTGATGTGCAGGGTGAGCATTAGCATTTCTGGCAGAGGATGGAGAAGGCTTCTTGAGCACCCTGCCTGCCATTCTCTCCCTTTGGCTCCATTCCCATGGCTCCATTCCCTGCCAGCTGAGCGGGTCAGTGTCTGGGTCTGGGCAGTGTGAAAGCCTCGTGGGCCTTGGTGCTGTGCACCCACGTCAGAGGGAGCCTGACGTCACTGTGTCCTGCTTTGTGGCTCATCACTGCCATCTGCAGCAGAGCCACTGCTCCCTGAGCTCCAGCTGGGATCGGCTCACCAAGGACACAGCACAGCTCCCAGTCGGTGACAGCACTGTCTGGGGCAGTTCTGCAGGCCCCTGACTTACTGATAACCTTCTTCCTTTTCCCTTTCTCCACCTGGCAGAAGCTTTTTCAACCTGTGCTGTCTCCCCTGTCGCCGTTCTCCTTGCAGCAAATTGGGCAACGAGGAAGGTAGAGGTGACATCTGAGATCTGTTGAGACCAGATGTCACAGACCAGTGGGGGAGATCCCTGCAGAGGAGTGCTGCTCATTAAATTCCACCTTAGAGAGAACAATTTCAAGGTACACCTGCTCTTCCAGCATCAATTCCATGAGGTGTAAGTGGTTCCTCAAGCCCCTGCAGCTGGTGTCAGCTTAATGCCATCTTAATTAGAGCCATATCGGTGTCCCTCATCTCCTGGAAATGGAACACCAGTTTCCATCAAGACAGAATAGTGTGCTGTTCTAGTGTAGGTGCCTCATCCCTGGGAGTGTTCAAGGCCAAGCTGGAGGGAGCTCTGAGCAACCTGGTCGAGTAGAAAGTGTCTGTGCCCATGGCAGGGGCGTGGAACTGGGTGATCTTTAAGTTCCCTTCCATCCCAAACCATTCAAAGATTCTGTGATTCCTTGGGGCAGCTGGTGATTGCACTGGTGCTGGTCTGACCACACTGAGTTGATTCTTTAATTTGCAACCAACATATGAGAAGTTTTGCCACTTCCCAGACACGTTTAAGAAGCGAGTCAGTAAGAACACCTTCTTCGTGCTGGTGCGAGTGGTGGATGAGCTGTGGTGAGTTGCTTTCTTTGTTTTGGATGGGAGATGTGGGGTCAGTAACATACAGAAGTCTGGTAGATGGAAAGATGTGGCTTTTAGGAAGATGTGGTTTTTTGGAAGGTGTGATTTTTAAACCCTATTAATGATGACAGCTGAAATCCCTGACCCTGAGCAGTGAGATACTTGCACTGCTGAACCCTCCTGTTGGAAGAGCAAGTTCTTGGTGTGTCCTAACTGGGTCAGTGATTTAAAATAACCAGTAAAAAGGGAATCTCTGGGAAAGGAAGAGCTGGGAAGAGGAGGAATTTCAGTCACCCAATTCTGCTTGTAGAAAAAAGTGACAAGATTCGGTACAGGTACAAACTGTAGCTCAGCCTCATAGCTCTGATGCCTCCCCTAAGTTTTCCATCTTTCTCTCAGCTTGGTGGAGTTGACAGAGGAAATTCTCAAGCTGCTGATGGACCTGGTCTTCCGGCTGGTCTGCAATGGGGAGCTGAGCCTTGCCAGGGTGTTACGCAAGAATATCCTTGATAAAGTGGATCAGAAGAAAATGCTGAGCTATGCCAATTCCATCAAACCTCTTGCAGCCCGAGGGGTGGCAGCCAGGTGAGGGAAGATGCATGTAACCATATCTTGGTCCTTTGAGAGCCAGGGAATCTCTTTCCTGTGGACACAAAAGTTTTCTCAGCCCAAAATATAAGAAAGAGAAGAAAACAGGTCACATTTTCTGAGCCTTCGTACTTCATCCTTGTTTTCCACAGGCCAGGGACACTGCATGATTTCCACAGTCATGAAATAGCCGAGCAGCTGACCCTCCTGGATGCTGAACTCTTCTATAAAATCGAGGTACAGACATGAGGATGGGGAAAGGGTGGTGGGAGGGATTGGAACATGCAGCCCCTACAATCTCTGGTGTTCCCTGCCAGCTCTCCAGGACACCTGTTGGGTTGTAGGACACAGCTGACCTTGTGTCAGCAAGTGGCTGCAAACACACACTGCCACTGGGAATGTTGAGGCAGAAATCCCATTTTAATGTGTGATATTTTCCCACCCCTCTCCTCTTCTTCCTTGGCAGATCCCAGAAGTTTTGCTTTGGGCGAAGGAACAAAATGAAGAGAAGAGCCCCAACCTGACACAGTTCACAGAGCACTTTAATAACATGTCCTACTGGTAAGGAGCTTAAAACAACCATGCCACTGAACTGTGCTTAACATCCAGTGCCTTGCAAATATTCCAAATATTCCTTGCTGACTTGGGTTCCTTTGTTACAAGTGGAATAACATATATTTTTGGCCTGGAAGTAGATGCAGAACACTCATCAAAAACCTCAGAGTACATGAGAAAGAAAATCAGGAATGTTGTGGAGGTTTCCTCCTGTAACCTGAAGGAATTAATTGTCAGTATCAGTGAGCCCTTCAAACAAACATTCCCCTTGAAAATAAATGCACTCTGTAAAATTATCCTGTCTCTGTTGTGGATTAGAGTGCTCCATTTAAGTTGGAGGTATCATGAGCTTTTTAGTATTGTTGGCCCATCCTTATCAGTGATCAGATTTTTTTAGTGAAACAAGAAGGAATCTGAGATCCGCTTAAGTGGGTTTATCTTTTTTTTTTCTGTCTGTTCTTCCAGGGTCCGTTCAATAATTATGCTACAAGAGAAAGCCCAGGACCGAGAGAGGCTGCTCCTCAAATTTATAAAGATTATGAAGGTATTAGTTCAACTTCCCTGTGAATCACAAACACTGCTCCTTAAAGGAGCAGGGTAGTGGGACCTTCTGGTTGTTAGAGCTGTTTGATGCTTAAAAGGCTTTTCAGATCTCTTGAGTAACTGGAACATTCTCCCTTTTCACAGCACTTACGAAAGCTGAATAATTTTAATTCCTATCTGGCCATTCTTTCTGCACTGGATTCTGCCCCCATCAGAAGGCTGGAGTGGCAGAAGCAAACCTCAGAGGTGAGGAGCAGTCAGGGCTGTCATCTTTGGGGGGAGGAAAACTGTGGATATGTATGAAACAGCTGGGTGGTTTCAATAGCTCAGCAATGTCCCAGGGTGGAGGGATGGTGGGTAACTGCTCTCCAGTGGGTGTAATGCCACGGTGCTGGAAGCCTGCAGCATGGCTGGGCATCCTGACAGCTGCAGAAGTGCCAACACAGGCACAGGGGAGAACAGCCTCCTCCTCTCTGCAAACCAAGGCTTGCTGAGGCTGAAGGCAGTGAGGCTCTGCTTATGCACAGTCGGGGTCAGGCTGAGTAAATCAGTTAGAGGTGTTTCCAGGACAGCATTAACTCCCTGGCCTGCATAGCTCTCTGGGGAGAGATGACAAAGAAAATGGGTTTGCAGCAGCAGTGTCACCGTGGGATTTGTGTCCTGGCAGGGCCTGGCTGAGTACTGCACCCTGATCGACAGCTCCTCATCCTTCCGCGCCTACCGAGCGGCTCTGGCCGATGTGGAGCCCCCCTGCATCCCCTACCTGTGAGTGGGCAGTTCCTTTCCTCTGCACATTTAAATGGTTCCTTCGATGATTTCTCAGCAGCTTCTGCTGAGCTCAGCACTTGCCTTTTGCCAGACATCTGGGATAAGGCAGCACTGTGCCACATCAGCCCATGGGCCCTCTCTGGAGCGATTTGTCTGGGAGCACAGGAGGGCAGGGTGGCAAATACCATTTTGTAAAGAAGCTTCTTCCATTCTGGTCCTTCTTTCCATGAAGGGTGAAAGAGCAACCTCAGCACTCTTAGTGTGCCATGAGTGCCTTCCCTCAGGGGCCCCTCAGCTGTGCATGGTGGGTGCTTGCACCTGAAAACCATTGGATCTGCTGCTGGGGAAACGATTCCCTCTGGATAAGGTTGCCATGATGGTGGCAGTGGGGGGCTGTTGGATTGAATTGGGCTGCCTTTTTGCTGGCCACCCTGCCCCTGTGTGACTAACCTCTGTACCTGTTTACCTACTCCCTGACCTGCTGCCCCTTTCTCTCTTTCAGAGGCTTGATTCTGCAGGATCTGACCTTTGTTCATCTGGGAAACCCCGATTACATTGACAGCAAAGTGAACTTTTCCAAGCGCTGGCAGCAGTTCAACATCCTGGACAGCATGAGGTGCTTCCAGCAAGTGTAAGTGCAGCAACAGGGGGGTCAGAGCTGTCTGTGGGGGAACCAGGTGTGGATTGGGGTGTGTGGGGATGATGGCTGGGAGCCCCTATGCAAGGGGAAGGGAGTCTAAAGTCAAAGCATCATGATGGAGATGTAAGGAAAGCTGGGAATGACAGGGCTCTGGTGGCAGTTCTCCTTCCCCCTCTAGATTAGATAAAAGTTGAGAAGACATTTTTCTGATGTTAGTTTTGAAATCCAGTGCAAAGTTTTCACAGTCCTCTCTTTAAGATGAGTTTTTCCTCCAGGTTTTGCCATTGCTGGTTCCTGTGTTCTCTAGGATATGGAGGGTTTTCTTCAATGCTGTCTTGCAGCAGAGGCAGCACACCTAACTGCTGATTTCTGTGTGATAGGGTCCTTTTTTCCCTCCCAGTTCAGCAACAGGCATGATGGGTTTTCCTCTTTCTGGTGTCACACCTTGTCATGAGTACTGGGCACAGACCACAGTGCTGGGTGTGTTAGAGCAGGGCAGGGGTGGCCAAAACTGAGAGAGGTCCCCAGGTAGCCCCTTGTTTAACCCTCCTCTGTGGTTTTCCAGACATTACGACATCAAAAGAAACGACGACATAGTGTCATTCTTCAACGACTTCAGCGACCACCTGGCTGAGGAGGCCTTGTGGGAACTGTCCCTCAAAATCAAACCTCGGAACATCACGAGGCGGAAAACAGATCGAGAAGAGAAGACCTAGGAGGAGGGATGGTGCGAGCGAGGAGAATTGCTCCACAGAGGCGCCGAGGGCAGCTATGAGACTGGAGTTCAATGTTTGTACCTGTCACTGGATGACACACCCTCCCTCCCAGCTGGCAGCCATCCCTGGGGGTGGGAATGCCGGGCGCTCGCAGCCGGCCAGAGGTGACAGCGCGCGGCCGCCACCGAGGGCAGAGATCGGCTGGTGCTCGCTGCACTCGCCCTCCTTCTCCTCCCGTCCCTCTGTGCCATGAACCAGCTTTAAACCTGGGGAGAGAGCTGTGTGGAAGGAGAGTCCTGCACCAGCGCGTTGGTTTGCTGGCCCATTCCATCCGGGAATAGCCCGGCTTCTGTTTTCGTCCACGAAGGAAGGTCAGCAAGAGCTCAGCACCCGCAGACTTGTCTCTGGAGTGACGTTGGGCAGGAGCAGACGTGGAAGCCAAGGGTTTGAGTCTCCCCTGCAATGCCACCTCCAAACGTGTTCATCCATGGGAGATGAGGATGGAAGTGTTCCTGCTGCCTGCCAGAGGAGCTCTGCTTTCAGAGAGCTACTTGTGTTTACAGGGGTCTTGGTTCGCCCCAGATCTCTGGCGCCTTCTTCGTGGGAGGAAGGCACCGGTCGTAGATACGGAAGAGGCACTGAAAACGTGGGCAGGGACCCGCCATCTCCAGTCATCACATCCCCCTCCTCCTCTCAGATCTCGTTATTTAAGCAACGGTAAATCCCTCTGAACCTGGACACACGGACTACCCAGGTACTGCGGGTCACTGTCCGTGGCCCCGTGTCTCTTAGCGATGGTACTTAGCTTTTGCACAGGAAATGCTGTAGTATATGGACTGTACATACTAGTGTTTAGAATCCGTTGGGGATTTTTGATGCATGTCTGAATACTGATGAATTTATAGGAAAAAAAAAAAAGAAAAAGTGGCAAACCAGTGTGTATAAAATTCACAACCGGTGACAACGTTGTTCCAAGTGCTGGAAGAAAGGAGGCTCGGGGCTGTGGAGCAGGTGCAGGAGCCGGGCGAAGGAGCCAGCGGGTCCATTTCTGGGTTGGAAATGGGAACCAGGAAGGAGCCCTGTTCCCAGCCGAGCCACCCCATCCTCCCACCCCTCTCCTCTCTCCTCTCACTGTTGCCAAATGTTTGTTCCTGGGGGTCCCCGTCGGGCTGGCCCTCGGTGCTGTGCTTTGTGACCTGTGCTTTGGCAGGAGCCCCAGCAGGTCCCCGTCCCCAGTCCTGCCATGCCAGAGCCAGCAGGGCAGCAGCAGCCTGGCATGGAAGAGCAAAGGGCAGTCTCATTTCCCACACATGCAGTGTTAACCCCAATCTGTTCAGTGTGCCTTATTCAGCCCCTCTGTCCCTTCTCTGTGTCCCACCCAGGGTGTTCTCCCCAGGCCATTTCACATCCCTCCCCTCTGTCCTCCTTCGATGGTTTACAGTTGGATTGGGGGTTTGAGTGTGCCCTGCAGGTTTCAGCAGCCTTGTGAGACCCTTCTCAGCTCTCTGTGGTCGCCGGTTTTTACAGGGTTCTAACAAAATCCTGCAGGTTTAGGGCAGCAGCTCCAGGAATACAGACATGGAGTTTCACAGAGCATCCTTAACTTATTTCTCAATAGCAGCTCTGTGCCTGCTCAAGCCTCTGTTTATTCTGGCTGAATCAGAGCTGCACTTACTTCCTTCTCCAAACAGATTGCAAAGCCTTGGCCAGCTCTGCCTGACTCCCAGGAGGGAGTGACAGCCACGCTGCCCCACTCGCAGGGTTTTACCGCGCTTGGTTATTTTGCTGAAGATTTCAGGCACGGGACTCACACAGTGACCAAGTGCTGAAGCACAGAGAGATCCCCCCCATCCATGAGGACACCTGCTGGGAGAGGAGAGTGTGGGGTCCAACACAGTTTGTGCTGTGCAGCCCCAGAGCAGGAGGAGCAGGAATCTTCTGTGCCGAAACACGGTATCTGAACAGGATCACTTCAAAAGTGGGTTATTTTCATGGCACTAAGGGCGTTGGAGCAGTGTGTTGTGTCCAGCCAAGGCTTTGCAATCTCCAAAGGCTCCCCAGCCTTCCACACAGGAAGTAATGCCTGTGTTTTCCTTTGTAAATAAGGTTTTTAAAAGCCCAGCATGTTGAGATGGTGAGAAGGCTGATGGTGTGGGCTTTGCCCCAGTGACTGCGAGCACCCCTTCGGTGGGGGCTGTGTCTGGGCTGTTCTGGGAGTGTTGTGTGTGCTGGTAGCACTGGAACCACCCCATCTGGGGGTGCAGAGGTCATGGCTGGGGCTTGATGCCACAGAGGGCAGGAGGGTGCAGCTTGTCTCCATCCAGCTGAATAACCGTGTTACGTGATAGGGGAGCAATTGGCTCACAGGTTGGGCACAGAGTTATAGTGACTGGGGTGACATCAGGCTGGCACGTGTCACTAGTGGGGTTCTGCAGGGCTCCATCCTCAGCCCAGTTCTCCTCAACATCTTCATTAATGAGCTGGACATAGGACTGGAAGGAATCCTTACAAACTTACACCAGGAGCTGTCGACTCCCTCCAGGGCAGGGAGGCCCTGCAGAGAGACCTCGACAAATCAGAGAGATGGGCAACCACTAACCACAGGAAGTTCAACAAGGACAAGTGTCCCATTCTGCACCTGGGATGGGGCAACCCTGGCTGTGTGTATAGACTGGGGAATGAGATGCTGGAAAGCAGCTGTGGGAAGGGCCTGGGGTCCTGGTTAATGGCAAGTTGAATATGAGTCAGCAGTGCCCTGGCAGCCAGGAGGGCCAGCCCTGTCCTGGGGACATCAGGCCCAGCATCGCTGGCAGGGCCAGGGAGGGGATTGTCCCGCTCTGCTCTGGCCTGGGGCGACCTCACCTTGGATATTGTGTGCAGTTTTTGGCACCACAATGTAAAAAAAGACATTAAGCTATTAGAGAGTATCCAGAGGCTACAAGGATGGTGAAGGGTCTGGAGGGGAAGTGTTATGAGGAGCAGCTGAGGGCACTTGGTCTGTTCAGCCTGGAGGAGACTGAGGGGAGGCCTCATTGTGGTCTTCAACATCCTCATGAGAGGCAGCAGAGGGGCAGACACTGATCTCTTCACTCTCGTGACCAGTGACACGAGTGGGGATGGGAGGTCTGAGTGGCCACAGCACCTCGTCCAGTGTGATGGGGCTGAGCCCCTCAGCTTTCCTCCCCACCAGCTTTCCTTCCCCAGCTTTCCTCCCCTCTTCTCCCCTTTGCTCTGCCGTCATCCTCAGCTGAGCGGAGTGTCCCAACCCCAGGCTTGCAGGGCTGGAGGGACCCTAAAGGAGGGTCCCCTTGCCTGGAGCAGCTTGAGGTTTGCTGACCAGAGACCCCCCCTCTCCAGGGGCAGCCCCCGGGGAGCAGAAGCCCAGAACATCCCTGTGCAAGACTGGCCAGGAGCGAGTTCCCATGTCTTGCAGGCAGCGTTCTTGAGGCCATCACCTCTTTTTGGGGAGAGGGAAGAGTCTGAGTCCCCACTCCACATGGGGCAGGGAGCGGGGAGAAGCAATGCCCCCAGTCACCAGCCCCCTGCCCCACTCCCAGCCATCTCCCCCCCAAGCAGTTCCGTTGTATTATAAATTTACCACTAACCCCATCCCCCTGGTGGCATCTTCCTCCGAACATTTCAGATCTGTAACTTTTATATTAAAGACAAATAAAACACCAATAACGAGCCCGCCTGATGATCCTGTTTACAGTGCATGCACAGTCTGTGGATTAAAGTGACAATCGAATCCGCCTCTGGCACTGGTGTGGCCTCATGTTTTCTCAAGTGCCCCTCGTGGTTTTCCTCTGCCCATGGCTCTTTTTCCCTTTATTTTTCCACTGTAAACCTCTTCCTTCCCTCTGCCGAGATGGCCTTGCCCCAGTACAACCCCTACACTTGGGAGGGGATGTCTGCTGCTGTCACCTTCCTCCGAGCACTGGTGCTCCCTGTGTTGGGGGGCTCTGGCCCCCCAAACCCCGCGCTGGCCGGTGCGTGCCCAGCCCGTGCAGCAGCCGCGTGCCGGCGGCCGAGGGCTATAAATAACCCCTAAATAACCCCTGCAGCAGCCGGGGCAGCCGAGCTGCTCCTGCACTATTTTCAGTCCTGAACAGGGTTCAAAATTCCTCTGGAAATAATTGTCACGGGCCAGCTCAGGAGGAGAATGCCCAGACAGTGACTGAGCACGTGCCCCCTGCGCGACCGCGGGGCTGCATCCCATGGGCTTGGCAGAGCAGGAGGTGGGGTGTCAGCAGCTCATCCCCCCCTGCAGCAGCTCAGAGGGGCACCCCCAGGCCCGGGGCCATGTGGACTCCCTGGGGGTCTGGAACCCTGGCACCCACCTGCTTTTGGGAAAACCCTGATTTCACTGATTACAGGAGACCTTACCCTGAATGTTGTGGTGGACAAAGGCCATGGCAAAGAGGAGATGTAGGAGAGGGAAGGTCCTTGCTGTGCAGAGAAAACAGAAGCTTTGGCTACAGCTGTATTTTATTTCAGCCTGGAAGCAGCAAGGAGGTGGCAATACAGTGTCTGTGTATGTGTGTGCAAAATTACTGGAGAAGTTGCATATGTGAATTTGTATCTTGCCACATTATTAATGACTGGTGAGGGCTTGCCATACACCTGGGTCTCTCTGTTATACCTCAGCCATTAGCTCTGTCTCCAGCCCCAGTTCTACAGATGCTCCCTGTGCTCCAGAGTCACATTTAGCAGCTCCAAGTGACAGCCCATGGTAATGGGATTCAGCATCCCACAGCAGAGCCTGATCCCATACATGGTGCCACTGCTCCAATATGAGTCCTTGCCCAGAGCTGGCTCTGGCATCGCTTCAGTCTGGGTTCCTCAGCAGGGCTGAGGGGGTGGGCGAAGGCACACGTGGCTCTGGAGCAACTCCTCGCCCCGCCAGGAAGGACAGAGATGCCCCTCTGCCCAGATAACACTTTGTGGTCACCCGTTTCCCAGGACAGCCCCAGTGGGGCTGTGGCCACTTCACCTGTCCGTGCCCCCGGGGCCATGGTGAGCTGCAAGGAGCCCCTGGCACACACACCACATCTCTGGGCTCAGGGTCCATGATGCCTGTACAGGGTTGCCAGGACGCAGATGACCCAAGTGATGGAGACGAACAACCCGAAGAGGAGGCTGAAGAGGATGAGGCACCAGGCCTTTCTGGATGCTGAGAATGCCCGGTCTATGTCCCCACGTCTGATCGCAGCCCGAGTCTGGTGCAATGGGGAGAAGGGGAGGGGTTAGAAGAGACCCGCAGCACCCAGAGAGGTGGAGGGGGATGTTTGAGATTGCCAGGTGGGTCCTTACCTCATGGGAGTAGATGAGGGCCATGACCCCAGTCAGCATGCAGCAGCAGACGGTCACCAGCACTGCCTCCACCAGGTAGTCCCTGGGCAGGTCCTGCCCGTGAACGGCAGGCAATGGCCCCATGCTCGGCTGCCCGGTGTACTGCAGCACGGCGGGGGAGCAGTTAGAGCTGCAAACCCCGGAGTGTGTCCCCCCGGCAGTGCTGCTCAAGCATCACTTGGGGCACCGCATGTAACCCCATAAGCCCAGGAGGGGAGGTAAGGGGTGAACTCACTGCAGAGCGGGACAGAGCACATCAGGGAGGGGGATACGTACGACGTTGTAGGTCAGGGCCCCAGGATGGATGCCCTGGTGAGGGAAGGGCCGCGCTCCCTGCCCTGAATACGGCTGGTAGAAGATGGGCTCCTGCTGGGAGGGCTGGCACTGCGGGCAGTCGAAGCGAACTCTCTTGCGGGCCGGGGGCGAGTAGGGCGGCGGGGCCCCCTCGACGGCCGCGTTGGTGGCCGCCTCCACGGGCGTGTCCCCACGGCCCGCGGGGGGGTCCCGGGGGGTGTCAGAGCTGGGCGGCTCCTCGGCGGCCCCTTGCTCCCCCTGCTCCCCCTGCT